GGTTAAAGGTAAGCACCTGTATCGTTGTAAGATTGCAGGAAAAATAAATAATTCTACTTCAATCATTTAGCACATACTTAATTATATTATATTGTTATTAGAATGTGTGGCTGTTTTACATATCCAGCTCTTTGGTTATTTGTGTGTGTATCATTTTTAGAGGTACAGTAAGGCAGAGGAGGCCATGGCTCAGGTGCTGAAGTTGGATCAACATTGTAAAGAAGCATCCAGTAAACTCTTGACCTGCAGGGTACTGCAGCTCATGGTGAGACTGGGAAGCTTTCCTTCATCATACGCAGCCGTCAAAGAGCCACAATCAGGATGTATCATTATTGCAGGCTTGCTTCTTTGTGTGGTTTGTTATTTGTGCAGATAGATTATCAATAGAAGTTATAGATCAAACCAAATACACATGAGCATGTAGTTAGTTTCTATTAAAAAGCTGAGCTGGACTGTGGTTGGTCCAAGAGATTATTTGTAGTTTTAACAACTTGTATCAGGTTGTTGTATTTGTTTGTTTAAAAAAAAAATTGTATTGATGCAACCATTCTTGATACACATTCCATCAAGATAGATAGAAGTGTATCCTTTATTTATTTATCGTGCCTCAGGGCATTTTGTAAAAGACGGTAGAAAAGATGAAACTTCAATGTACTTATCTTTGTAGTATTTTAAATTGTATTTTTATGTTGTACATAATAGGAGCTGGGTTTTTCAGAACAACAGAGTGAACTGCTGCTGGAGAAGTTCACCACTGTTCAAGCTGTCATCAACTCACCTCAGTCCAAAGGTAAGAGCTAGTTGTAGTTCCACTTCTGTCCACAGCAGGGCAGTATTGCATTGAGCTGCAGTTATTGGAATTCTTTGGTAGCAATACATATGTGTAAAGAAACCTCTTTAAATACCTGTCAGTTAAATATGAAATCATCATACTGTAAACCACTCACTGAAATAAAGACGATTTGTAGCTTGCACAGTGAAATAGAATCTTTATGTTGGATATAACGACAAAATAAACATAATAACATTTAGCAATTTGTCTCTAGATGTAGTACTATTGTATTAGTAATAGACACTCATGTACCACCCCCAGTTAATGTGCTTTTAGTGAAAGTGTGTTAGACAATTTCACGCCCCATAACAAAGGCACATCGGGGAATCAGCTAATTCTAAACCAACTCTATTTAAACGACAGTGTAAAGACATTAGTAAAAATACTAAGTGTACAGCAGATAACTGTTCTAAATGTAATTTCATATTGTACATGGTCCCTTTAAACATAAATCATATAATTATCTTTTAAATAACTTTTTACTGATAAACCTTTGCTTTTTTTTTTTTTTTAAACTTCACGACATGACATCACCTTCTGTCCTCTCTTGCAGCACAGAAGCAAACGTCTCAGCAGGACCAGAGTGGGTAGGTTGTATGGCAAAAACGAATATACATAAACACAAAAATCATTTCATACTTTTTAATAAGAAGTCTCTTACATTGTCCTCTCCTTACATTGTATCCACCTGTTACTATTTTTATTCTCATTCCTTCCTCTTTTTTTTTTTTTTTTTTTTAAATCTTTAGGAGCTGCCGATCTCTGTGGGTGGGGAACATCACTTTGGAAGTCACAGAAAAACACCTCTCGGACCTCTTCAAAATGTAAACACTTTTTGTTTGAGGACAAATTAGAACCTCAAAGATAATTTTTGATAGTGCTGTGAACTATGGTTAGTTAGGGTGCTGAGCAGTCAGTTATAGCCCATCCACTATTTTTACTGATACACAGACACCCCTGTAAGACTTAAAGCAGGTATTCATCAGTAGAAGTACTAGTAGTAGATTAGTTAAATCCTGTAGCTTTTGAAGAAGTATGTAGGTGAGTCATCGTCAGTTTTGTAAAGGGACATAAGTTTTAGTGTTAGCAGAAGTAATAAAAAGTGCTTATTCAGCATGCTGTTATTTTGCCTGTAAATCGTTCACAAAGTGCTTTGCTCTAGATTTAGAAGCTGTGTGTTGCCATGGTTGCAGGTTTGGTGAGATAGAGAGCATCAGAGTCCTTCATGAACGTTTTTGTGCCTTTGTCAACTTCAAGAATGCCAACATGGCCGCCAAAGCCATGGAGCAGCTGCAGGTTAGTGACAGGTATTCTCAGAATATTCTCAGATCGTCTCAGATGTCATTTTCAGTGACTGAGTATGTGAATGTGCAATTTGAATGTTACAACTAGAAGCTGTCCTCCTGCTCTTTCCTTTAATTTGATCATCTGTGCTGCTTCTTCCTGACCAGGGGGCGGAGCTTGGAAGCTGTAAGCTTGTGATGAGATACCCTGACCGTTGGAACCAGCGGACCCTGCCCTCAATACAAAGGACCGACACTGTAGATACACAGCAGAGCTCAGTGGTTGCATGGTACTGAACAACTTTCTTATGTCATGCATATCTGTGTAATGGTGGCGTGCTCTCCTTTACTTTTACATACAGTTATATCCCCACTCTGCAGATACAAACCTCTGATTCAGTAAGACCTCTTATCACATGCTGTTTGTATTTATTGAGGGTTAAGGGACAATCTTGGACAAACTTTTCAAACGTTGGGGTGACAGGGTTTTTAAGGTTTAGGTAACGCTTTATGATGGTTATTGATCATACTCCTCAGACAGATATGGCTTTATAATTAAACCATCATTTTATGCTAAATCCAGAAATGCTGGTTTTCTCTTTCTGTACATTTCCGTGATCAAATTCTCCTCACATTCAGAACATGTGGTGATGCTGTTGACTTTTTTTCTGAGAGTAAGAGTTAAAGAGTTTGTAGCTCAGCTACAGTGTTTTAGAAACTTCCATCTACATAATTCAGTGATTTGGTCACTCACCTACTGGTTTGTGGACTACATTTTGTAAGACTACAGTTTGCCATTTTGGCTTTCCCAGATTGCTGCCTGTATCCAAAACTGACAGGTACACATGGTAGCTGCATGTAAATCACAGGCAGCAACACCTGAAAACCTCCTGAATTGTCTTCCTGTTTTACTCTAAAAGGAGCCACAATTCACAAAAATAACATCATATTGTTTTAAAGTAGACTTACATTTAACAACTGAGACCATTAAGTTGTTAGTTGATTTATGACTTCAGTAAACATTTCCCCTGAGAAGTAGGATCTTTTTGGATCACCTGCTTCCATTAACGTCACCTCTTTTTGGAGTGTAGTCACCCTCTGCTGGCCATTAGGAAGAATCATGTTTTAGGCACATGGACATGCAGTATGTTTCACCTTTGAAAACTAGAGGTAATGTACACTTATTAAATGCAGTCAATGTTACTCATGGAAAATAATCTTGTGTGTTTTTCAGCCTCCTTTGTGTGTCTCAATGCGGAATCCTATTTTTGTCCTGCATCTACTGTTTCTATCTCCTGTTTCCAAACAGGATTCATTATCCTCTTCTCTCGTTTCCATCCCTGCAGGTCTAAAGGATGTGCACCAATAGATGGAGATGAGTGCTTCTACTGGAGGACCGCAGGCTGTTTTTATGGCGACAAGTGCCGCTTCAAACACATACCAGAGCATCAAGGTCGAGACAAGAAACAGTGGACACCCTAAATGTGTTCCCCTGCACTCCTAATTTTAGCACCAAGGGACAACAAAAACAGATGGATTTATGAAGAAAAACAGAAACAGGAAAAAAGGGGAAGTGAGCTGAGTGAAGATCTGTCTGAGAACACTGACAAATGAATGTTTGTGCGAGAATAAAAGGATACGGCCTCCGGAGTAAAGAAAAGGGCTAAATGAAGAAAGTAATGCGATACCTTACAAGTTCCACTGTAACGGTGGCTTAAATTCTACAATTCTACAATTCACTTAGCAGACGCTTTTATCCAAAGCGACGTACATCAGAGAGTAAGTACAACACAAGCAAGGAGCTAGAAAAAAGGGAACAATGTCAGTAAGAGCAAACGATCAGCTTTGAGTCTGATTGGACACACAGGTGCTGACAGGAAGTGACCAGAGGCAAAGCACAACATTGACGGCAGTTCTTGTTGTGCTTTTCCTAAATGGAATTCAATATATTGGAAGCATCACAAATGAACTCCTGGTTTCTGCATGGAGCTGACTGGAGTCTGTCATCAGATGGATTTACTTGGAACTGTGTGTTGAACTAAAACGGAAACACTTTACACAACCTGCAACAACATGTTGTCTCAACACCTCTGGTGAATTGCCTTAAAGTCCAGAATTATTTTCTTATCATATGAAGAGATGCAACATTAAAGAGTGTATTGTATTTTTCACAAAACAGTGAATCAATAAAACCTGCCTGAACCAGTAGTAGTGTCTTCACAACCACCAATTATTCCAGATTTGAAACTGTCATATCAGGGTCAATTCTTTGGGGGGGAGCCGCTTCATCAAGATGGCGGTTCCAAGATGGCGGCCATGTAAAGTCCAATATGTCTTTCAAGCCACTTAGAAGGTCGATCTTGGTGTCAATATATACATTCTCTGGGTCAATGAATTCATTAAAGCTATTGAAAATATCACAAGGTGATTATTTGTGCCAAGATCAAATAAATATGTTAATTTTGGCAATGTATTACATCATTTTCAACTTGGTTACTAGGCAACAGACACCCTCTGAGGTCTGGGGCTAATTTATCCGTTTTGTCATTTTACTGTTCAGTTAAGCAAAACAGGAGAGCCAGTGCACGAGGAGAAATATTGAAGCGCCTCTTCTATTCTTGTTCCACTAATAAAAGACCAAGGGCTGTCAAAGCCAGTGCCATTTTCAACTTTTAATGAGACATTACTCTCGATAAGAAGTACCTATATTACGAATGTTGAGCAACAGCAGTGAGAAAATTGTCGTCTCATATCATAACAACGGTTTATTTATCTGTTTATTACCTTCCTCCTCCTCTTCTGGGTTCCCTTTTTTGGACTGACGATAACAGACTACTGCCGCCTGCTGGCATGGAGAGTTATTGCCTTTCACACATGCACAGAACGCACGTGGTGGTTGGCCGTGGGCTGTAGTCTTTGCGGTGTGTTCGAGTGCCACTTTTTGGCCAATTCAAAAGGCGTCGTGGGAACCTCGACTCGTTCAGTGCCTTCAAGTTTTAAAAATCTTATGAAAAAGCTAGAGGCTCAAACCAAGCCACATGTCTACATTCAGGGAAAGGTAGCAAAAACCTGGAATATAGTTTTTGAAAAGGAGGAGGTACACCTGGTCTACTCAACATTTGCCCATCAAGAGTCCTCATTTGAATAACCCACACCTTCGTCTACCTTTGGCATACATTTAGTAAATGGCCTCTTGGATATGACACAGCTCTGCAATATTGGACTTGTTTTGTTGCTGTGCCCCTGATACATATTAACTGACCAATTAAACCCTATCCAATGCCACACCTGGACCACCCGCCCCCTGCCCACCACACCATCTCTCAGCCTCTTCCTTGTCCAACATCTTACATGTGTAATTATGTCTGTCTGTCTCCCTTATGGCTGCCTCTCCAGACACCAAAGCCTCATCCTCTGATCTGAGCCTGTCCCTTTAAATGTCAACACACGACGCGCTCTGGGAGGAGCAGGGGAGTGATGACAGTGAGAGAGAACATTTACAGTCTATGGAGAGAACACAGCGGGGCGGAGGACGTGTGTGAGGAACTATGGTGAGGAATAGGAGACATCGGAGGAGACGTTTGGCAAGCTTTAGTTTAGTTAAAGATGTTGCCTGTATTTCCTCTGTTATTTCAAAATGTTAAAAACATGTTGATAATATTGTTTGATTGTTAATCGATTTTAATGTTGAATCATACTGTACATAGTTCGCCCTTGTGAAACACTTTGTTTTGAAAAGTGCGTAGTTTAGTAATGTTGCCTGTACTCTGATAAATGTTACATGTTGTATGTTTGATTGTTAATCGATAATTAATCATACTGTACATAGTTTTGTGTTTAATGCCGTAGGCCTATACGATAAATACGGTATGTTAATTATTACGATAATTGTGTTTAATTCAATGTGTTTTTAATATTGTTCTTTAAAAAAAGTTCTTTATAAAAACTAGATGTGGTCTGCAATTTTTTTTTTCTAAACATGAGTGTTGAAAAACGGGGGTCGTCTTATAATCAGGGTCGTCTTATATTCGGACCTATACAGTAATTCATTCAAGTACATTTTCTATTGTCTTAATTATTTTTTATTAGATCAGTATGTATCTAATAGTAGTATTTGAGGAGGACAACATAACTGACTCAGTGCGGGTTTGATCTTTTTAATATTTTCTTCAATTCATAACAGTGAATTCACAGGCCCGACCAACGCCCTCCAACAGCTGCCATAGTCACACACGTTTATAGTTACATAAACTATATTTAGAGAAGCTGTCACATCATTTTCATAAAAGTAAGAATCATTTCTTCATTTCAGTATGGGGATTTTCAGTCATTTGTCTGTCCATATAAAGGGGAAGGAAACTGGTGTGGCTCTTATTTTCAAACACAGTAATAAAGAACACAGTTATCTGCTGACAGGAGTACCAGCTATGAGTTTATCTGCTGCAGCGAGTGGATTTGTTGTCTTCCTTCTCGTTGTACAAGGTAATGTACTTTTACATGAACACTTTCAGGCAGCAACATCTCCTGACACTTTAACAGTATTATAAACTTTAAGTCTTGTGAACGTTACATTTCATGCAGATTTTTTTTTTAGGATGATGTATGGATTGATCTATCGGGAATCCTCTAAATGGAACTGTAGCTGGTGTATAAATAAATCAGTTTATTCAGAGGCTGTTTCTTTCTGCGATAAAATGATTGTGGGAAATACATTATTAATAAAACAGATAGGGTCTATATAAGGTTCTCCATGTCACAAGGAATTATTTTTCACATGATTTCTAAACTAAATAAGACAAGCTAAAGTAGTTTGAATTAATATTTTAATATTGTTGGTAAAAAATGAATGACTAATGTCAAAAATGTTTGATTGCAGTACTAAACTTCTTTGGAATTATCAGATGACACAGCACCTCTCTATACAGAGCATTTTACTGTCTTTCAGCTCATTATTTTGGTGTTTTGACTTAAACTCATCATGGCTCTCATCAGTTGTTTTTCCAGCAGGGAAATCATTATAGTGTAAACTAGTTAAAGGTCCCATATTATGCTTTTTCTGGTTTTATATGCCCTTTAGTGTGTTTTCCAAGTGTCCTGTGCATGTTTAGGCACATCTATGTGCATAAATTCAAAGTCCGCGAAAACGCAGCTTCTCCTATGTCCTCCTGTTAGCTGTAGCATTAGCTGCATGTAACGTTGGTTCTAGCCCCCCTCGATAAAAATTTGTCAGTGTGAGATCACTGATCTAAGCCCATTGGCTCGTTGTGGCGAGCCCTGCAGCTCATGTTGAAATTTCCGAGACGCGTGCTGAGCAACTGACCAATAACGACAGAGCGGATCGGCAGACCAATCAGAGCAGACTTGGCCCACGTGGGGTCTAACAGTGTGGGCTCAACAGAGTGCAGCTGACGGACTCAGAGCGGAGAGGGAGCAAGGAGGAGCAGTACATGAAAACAGACACTTTTTTTTAACTTTAGCTATTGTGAACGTACAAAAGTAGGTACATAGATTAAATATACGAACCCCAAAAAGGGCATAATATGGGCTCTTTAAAACTAAGCAGCAACTTCTGAGGTTGAAAAATGAAGTCAATGCAGAAGTGTAAAATCCTGCAGTGTGTCGAGTGTCCACTTGAGGCTGGCTCCAAGAAACACCAAAGTCAAATACACATTTGTGATTTGATGACGATACTTGTCATCCATAGTTTAGGGGTCTGGCCCATAGACTTTAAACAAAACCTGTTATGCTAAAAGAACTGCAACATCCTTTCTGCAGCATTTTGGTGCTAACTTAAGTTTCAACATGTTAAAATTTCAAAGAATTTGGAAATTGGTCAAAATAAAGATAAATAAAACACATCCATTATTCTAAATGTTATGTTCAGTTTTAGTTAGGATAAGACTGCTGAACATATTTGTCCACACTCTAGTGTGCAACAGTAACCTGAGAGAGAGGTAAGAGTTTTTAGCACTTCTAAAATAAATGAGTCGGTCTTCTGATGTTTTTATTATTTTAGTTGTGTTTCCTGGTGTGCTCTGTGTTACAGTGGTTCAGAGTCAGAATGACATGAGAGTGACTTACAGTCCGACCAAAATCTGTGCCTTGAAAGGAACAACAGTGGAACTAAGCATGTACCTATCCACAAGAAATAGCCCGTCTACAGTCGATAAATCCTTTTGGTTTACCAAAGAGCAGGATAACGAATGTGTTGATTTGACAACAGACTCACAGTATGCAGATCGTGTGATGCACAAATGTATTGGGACGCGCTGCACTCTGAGAATCACAAACTTGAGAAAAAGCGATTCGGCTGTGTACAAGTTTAGGTTAATATCAAACCAACCTAATGGAAGATACACTGATGAGCCTGGAGTCTTCTTGTCTGTCACAGGTAATGTTTTCACTCGTAAATGAATTATTTCATGATGTAAAAAACCCTATGGAAATGTTTTTTTTTTATCTATTTGCATGTGTTTGTTGACAGATTAGGCTAAAATAACCTTTCTTGTTCATTCTCCACAGATCCAGATCCCAAGGTGCAGAAGATGACAAGTAAAATGAAGTGTCACAGCAGTTGTACTTTACCTTATCAGTACTCCTATGTCTGGTACAAAAATGGACAGGAAATGCCAAAAGTCTCATACTCTGATTATTCAGGCCCCTTTGTATCTGGAGACAGCTATACATGTGCTTTGAAAGGATTTAAGGATTTCCCCTCTCCTCCTGTGTGTGAGTTTACTTACAATCTGACACTAGCTTACAACTACAACGACTTGTATTTTTAGTGTGGCTACAACATTTGTTAATTGTAACCAACATTTCCAGGTGCCATAAGTAAAACCTGCAACAAAGTGATGTATGCTGTCCGAGCCATCTGTGCCTCCAAAGGCTCATCGGTGGGCATTTCTTGTACTTACAACAGTTATGGATGGATCATTTCAAAATCCTGGTTCAGTCCTGGACTGAGTCACCATTCGGGATATCATATGCAACCTGAGGACCTCAGTAGAGACCCCAGGTATACAGGTCGCTTGCAGGTCTTTGACAATGGGAAGGGACACACCACTTTGAATATCTCTGCGCTGAATGAAAGCGATTCAGCCCAGTATCGTTTCAAATTCACAACAGAAATAAGTGGATGGGGGAGTGCTGTACATGGTACAAATCTGACTGTCACAGGTACATATGAACACAAACCAGTGAAGACCTTACTTAAAAAAAAAGAACTGAAATGTTGCTTTTTAGTCAATTACTTTCAGTTTGTGTACTAACTGTTATTTAAGTGAATGCAGTCAGGCCTTTTGTCTGTCCACAAAGCATTTTTTCTTTAAGCCCACGTCTTTTTGAGAAATTGTTCTCAAAGATTAGCAACCATTCATTGTACATATGGCCACATGCAGGAGACAATCGATTGTGTTGAATATATTTACAGGTTGCTGCCTTTTTCAAGTGGCATGTCAGAGTGCCTTTTTTTTTTCCAGCTGTAGTTCATATCATTGCATTATTAAGACAACCAATCATGAGGAGGGTTAAAGAAGTTAGAGAAGAAGCTAGTTTTGCCTCTGCGTATACAGAGAAGTACAATATGTCCGTCAAAAAATAATCACAATAAGAAAATAAAGGATCATTTTTGGAGAGCAGATCACCCTGAAACATTTCAGTCTAACAACACCTCTTGGACAAGGGAATTCAATGAACAATTATCAGATTGTGTCATGCATGCACCAGCTGCTACACACCTGTCAGATAAAGATGTGACAGAGGTCAGTCATCATTATGAATGCCTATATACAAAGAATGAGGCGCAGCATCCTCCGGTTCATCATCATACACATAGGCTGGAAAGAGGACAGTCTAGTTTATTAAGAATATAGGCAGTTGTCATAGAAATAAAGACCCAGGTGCCACATAAGTTGCTTTATCCCTGTACTCCACTGCACTTTTCTATGAGAAAAACATGTTTTGTGGACACAGGCCCTTGGTATGCTAGGTTTTACTTATGTAACTGTAGCTGTTGCAGTGATGTGTAGCTAAATGTATCTTCTTTTTTGGAAACTGATAATGGCAATGTTTCTTATTCTGTATATCTAGCTTTACAGGTACAGGTGACTAGAATAGCAGCCCACCAATTTTACGTTGAGGCAGATCTGAGGTGTCACAGCAGCTGCAGTGAAGCAAGTCGTCTTCCATATGGGTGGTTCAGGAATGGAGAGCAAATAATCTCGCAGGATAAATCTTCTTATAACCACTTTTTTCATCTTGAAGACGAAATCTCCTGTGCTTTAAAAGGACATGAAGGATTTCCCTCTCCTTCAGTGTGTAAGTTAACTTGACTTTGTCAATGCAAAAAACACATCTGCACACTTACACTACAGCAAAATTACATTTAAAGTTATCAAAAAAAAACAAAAAAACACTGTGATTGAGTAGATTCAAATTTTATTCTTAGAAACAAAAGTGAATCTACTGCCAAATGAAGAACCAGTGTAAAGAAAGAAGTTTACAGTGTCCGAGTCATAATTTGAGACAGAGTGATAGTCATTGTAACATTACTGATTGTAAGTCCACCTCAAAATTGGGATTTAAGTGTGGCTGTTCGGCACTGGTGGTGAGCAAAAAGATGTCAGGAGGCAGAAGTCAATGCAAAATGAAGTGATTGATTTATTAACCAAAAATAGCACCAAACAAAAGTCCCGGGTAACCTAATAAAACAAGATTACGTAAACCGAACGAAACCACAGCCTCACAGCAAGCTGCCACTAACCAAACAACCCTTTCCCCCCCCCCAGACTCTGGCTTTATACAAGAAAACCCAACTGGCCTCACTTTGTCTGATTAAGCTCAGGTGATTTCACTCAGCCTAATCACTCTGCAGGCCAGTGTAGGGAAGGTGGGGGCAGGTGAAAGGTATGGGACAACCTTTTCACATTTCCCCCTCCCCTGAAAGCTCGCCATCAGGATGGCGAGACAGGAAGTCGGCCACAACATTGTCCTTTCCAGGTCGATAATGGACCCTGAATCTGTAAGGCTGCATCTCAAGAGCCCATCTTGAAATGCGGTTGTTTGAGTCTTTCATTTTATGAAGCCACTGCAGGCCTCTGTGATCTGTCTCCAGAATAAAGTCTCTGCCTAGCAGATAGTATTTAAAGGTCTCTAACGCCCACTTGATGGCCAGACACTCCAGCTCAATAGCCGAGTACCTTGTCTCTCTTGGCCACAATTTCCGGCTGGCATAAGCAACCGGCTTCTGGGCAGTCCCTTCACCCTGAAGCAGGACAGCCCCCAGGCCCACCCCTGAGGCATCAGTTTGCACGACGAAGGGTTGGCTGAAGTCTGGGCTCTGCAATACTGGATCATCACAGAGTGCCCCTTCAGGTCAAGGAAAGCCAGTTCATGCTTTCCTTCCCACGGCAGTTGATTAGGGCTGGACTTCCTGGTAAGGTCAGTTAAAGGAGCTGCTCGTGTGGCAAATTGGGAAACAAAGCGTCGATACCACCCAGCCAGGCCAAGAAAAGACCTCAGCTCCTTCTTGGTACCGGGACGTGGACAATCCTTCACTGCCTGCACCTTGTCCTGTTGAGGCCGTATCACACCACGGCCCAGCAAATAGCCCAGGTACTTTGCTTCTGGTTGGGCTAGGGAACACTTTTTGGGCTGAACTGTCAGACCGGCCTGCTTGAGCCTCTGTAGAATTTCTCTCAGATGCCGCATGTGATCCTCCCATGTCAGACTGAAAATGACAATGTCATCTAGGTAAGCAGCTGAGAAGGATTCTGTCCCCTCCAAGACTCTGTCCATGAGTCGCTGAAACGTGGCTGGGGCCCCGTGCAGACCAAAGGGCATGACCGTAAACTGGAAAAGGCCTTGGGAAGTTCTGAAAGCAGTGTACTGCCGGGCCTTTGGAGCCAGCGGCACCTGCCAATACCCCTTGCATAGATCGAGTGTGCTGATGTACTGGGCCTGTCCAACACGCTCAATAAGGTCATCCAGCCTTGGGGTGGGATAGGCATCAAACTTTGACTGAGCATTAAGTTTACGAAAGTCAATGCAAAATCTAATAGTGCTATCTTTTTTAAGTACTAGCACTACAGGACTGCTCCACTCACTGTGAGATTTTTCAATTACACCCAGTGTCATCATTAACTCCAGCTCCTTCTTCAGGGCTGGCAGCAACCTCTCTGGAATCCGGTACATTTTCTGGCGGACAGGAGAAGGATCTTCCAGGATAATGTCATGTTCCACTATGTTGGTGTAACCTGGTTTGTCTTTAAGCAACTCTGGAGGAACAATGGCTAGCAGCTCACTCTGCATTTGTGGGGTGAGATGAGCAAGGTCCAACTGAATTTGAGTCTCATCTTGATTTGGAAAAAAACTGATCCGTTTGGTCCTCCTCCGTCTTTACAGCTCTGACCAGAAGCTGCTGGCTAGACTGACTGGCTTTGGTACCCATTCTTTAAGGAGATTGACGTGATAAGTCTGCTTCTTCCGACGACGTTGGGGCATGTCAAGTTCATAAGTCGCAGGACCCATCTTCCTCAGAACTTTAAAAGGCCCCTGCCACTTGGCTAGCAGCTTGTTGTCTGTGGTTGGTAGAAGCAGCAGGACCTCTTGCCCCGGCTGGAAAACTCTGACCTTTGTCTTTTTGTCAAACATCTCTTTTTGTCTCTTCTGGGCTTGCTCCATATTAGCCTGAACCCTGGTTGCCATCTGCTCCATCTTTTCCCTCATTTTAAGGACGTACTAGAGGACAGGTACTGGCTTCAAACCACTGGATGGCTCCCAGGTGTCTCTTAGCACATCAAGAGGTCCTCTCACTCGCCTTCCATACAGGAGTTCAAAGGGCGAATAGCCGGTTGAGGCCTGAGGGACTTCCCTGTAAGAGAAAAGCAGATACGGCAGCCAACAGTCCCAGTCTTTTCCATCTTCAGCCACAAACTTCCTCAACATCGCCTTCAGTGTCTGATTATATCTCTCCACTAACCCGTCAGTCTGGGGTGGTAAGGGGTGGTCTTAATACTTTTAACCCCCAACAAGCTATACACCTGCTTTAATGTCTGAGATAGAAAAGCAGCACCCTGGTCTGTCACTATCTCCCTGGGAATGCCTACTCTGGAAAACAGCTGTAAGAGAATAGGTGCCATGGCCCTTGCTGTAATTCGCTTCAGCGGGAAAGCTTCAGGATAGCGGGTGGCATAGTCACATATTACCAATATGTATCTATAGCCTGACCTAGACCTTTCTAGAGGCCCGACAATGTCCATACCTATCCTAGAAAATGGAACATCAATTATTGGCATGGGCAGCAGTGGAAACTTCTGTACTTTCTTGCAACTGGACAATTGACACTCATGACAGGTTTTACACAACATTTGAACATCAGTGTACAAACCAGGCCAAAAGAATTTACAGGAAATACGGTCTAATGTTTTAACACTGCCCAAATGACCTGCCCAAGGTATGCTGTGGCCCAACATCAATACCTTGTCCTCAAGCTTTCTGGCACTACAAGCTGCTCGGCTGCCCCCCTTTCTGGCTGATGGTACAGTAACCCCTTGCGCATCAGAAAACTCTCCCCCGTTAAGGAGGGGGATACCCCCGTGCTCACACCATCTATCTCAGTGACCTTGCTGAAGGCACTTTGTAACGTGTTGTCTTCCCTCTGAAGCTGGCTTAAATCCCCAGGAACCTCCCACCAACTGTCTCCTGCTGACTGCTCTGGCTCTGAAACCGGCTGTTGTTGCTGTCTCAGGGCCCCATGAGCTTTTCCTCCGCCTTTGCTGCCTACTCTTCTTAACCCGGCCATTACTTTCACCAGGAACTCAACCTGACTGAAGGAAGCTGCTCTAACCCTGTGAGTGTGTGATAGGTTGCGGAGACTGGCTAGTGTTGTCCCTCCTGGCTCTGGTTACAACCATATTAACTGGCCTGCTCTGATGAAGTAACCTGGGTAGGATGGGTAGATCTTGACCTAACAGGACTGGATGACTTAAACCAGGAACAACTCCAACCTCTAATAAGTACGACTGGCCCTGCACTTCAAGATAAACCCACGCTGTCGGGTAAGGACGTTTGTCACCATGCACACACCACACTTCTACTTCCCCTTCCCCCATCTGCTGTTGCTGAACCAGGTAGGGCATGACTAAAGTCTGAGTGCTGGCAGAGTCCAACAAAGCAGTGGCGGGCATGCCATTAACAGTAACAGTTGCTATTTGCATTTTACCTCTAACTTCATGATCATCTACTTTCTGTATAGTGGGTCTGGGAACACAGCACATGGTGTTGGCACCTTTTACTTTTAAAGCTGGACATTCAGGCTTTATGTGCCCTTCCTTTCCACAAAAATAACAAACAGGTGGGTCTTTATTTCTCTTTCCTGCTGTACTGTCAGGGAATTTAACACCTACTCCTCTCATCTGAAAAACGTTGACCACCCCCACCAAACCCCCCAGACTTACCCTTGGTTGGTCGATTGTTCTTGTCATGACGGAAGAATTTGGTCCCCTCCTTGCAGCCATGAAGGCCTCCACCAGTTGAGCAGCTCTCTGACCGTTCTCAGGGTTATGCTCCATCACCCACACTCTAACTTCAGGTGACAGAGTGCGCAGAAACTGCTCCAGGATCAGGACCTCTCCAACTTCCTCCATTGTCTTTTGTGCTGGTTTCACCCATTTCTTGTAAAGCTCTTTCAGACGATGATAAAGCTCTCGAGGAGTCTCCCCTGGATGGGTTTCTGGATCACGGAACCTCTGACGGTACATTTCTTCATTTATTTCGTATTTGGCTAGAATGGCCTCTTTAACTTTGTCATAGTCCATTGAATCATTCACATCCATTGCAACATAGGCGCTTCTGGCCTTACCCGTCAGATGTGGAACCAGCTGCACAGCCACTCCGCCCTGGGCCATCTGTACGCGGTGGCTAGGCGCTCAAATGTTGTGAGATATGGTTCAATGTCATCTCCTTCTTCCAATTTTGGAATGGTGGCTCTGCTCCAGGTTGCTGGCCCACAGGGAAGGGAGGATTGTTGTCAGGGGCGGTGATCCACCAGTCGCTGGAGACCTGGACAATGCACCCTCCTTTCTGGGTCATTGTGCTCCATACCTCCGCTGACCTCTTCCCGCTTCTCTGCCTCCATCTCATCCCGCACCTGGTTCAGTTGTATCTGGATACTTCTCCACCTTTGCTCCTGCTTGAAGGCCTCTCTCTCCTGGACTTGCATCTGCCTCTGGATGAGGGCATACAGTTGATCCAGGCCACCTTGTTCGTGTCCCTGGACCACCACTGTCTCCACCTGTAGCTAGGTCCTCCCTAGGACCTTGGTCACCTCGTAGAGCCCCTGGTCATACTGCAGTGTTTGGCTTTCACTTTGCATGGCTTTCTGTGCGCTCCTGGTGATTGGGCGTCCGGGCTTCTTCTTCTGGCTCTCCAGTTTCAGTGACGAAAAAAAAATCCCACCGCTGCCACCAAATGTAACATTACTGATTGTAAGTCCACCTCAAAATTGGGATTTAAGTGTGGCTGTTCGGCACTGGTGGTGAGCAAAAAGATGTCAGGAGGCAGAAGTCAATGCAAAATGAAGTGATTGATTTATTAACCAAAAATAGCACCAAAGAAAAGTCCCGGGTAACCTAATAAAACAAGATTACGTAAACCGAACGAAACCACAGCCTCACAGCAAGCTGCCACTAACCAAACAACCCCCTTTCCCCCCCCCCAGACTCTGGCTTTATACAAGAAAACCCCAACTGGCCTCACTTTGTCTGATTAAGCTCAGGTGATTTCACTCAGCCTAATCACTCTGCAGGCCAGTGTAGGGAAGGTGGGGGCAGGTGAAAGGTATGGGACAACCTTTTCACAGTCATCATCTTGATTTACAGTACGGTCAATCTTAATATTAGCAAATTCAAAACCAGTGATGGGCAAGTTACTGAAAATGAGTGACTAGTTTCAGTTACTATCAAGAAGTTACTAACTGAGTATCTGCATATAAAAGTAACTACATGGAAAAATTACTTTAGCGTCCCTTTTTCACCTCAATCCTCATTTTAATGATCACATTATTTAGTGTTTTAGTGAGGTTTTCAACATGTACATTTACTAATAAGGTCTCTGAAGACAACAGATTGAACAGTTGATATGGGAAGCATGTTGTCAACTTCATACCGTGCTATCAGTCTGTTTAGTTGAGGCTTACAGATCATGGAGCTGGCGGTTTATAATGTTTGTATGGAGTGACTCCTCCTTGGTCTGCCAGGCTAACATGAGCAGCGCCACCTGGCACCTGAATTATTTACAAAACATAAAAGGAAGTAAAACTCCAGCTCAATGGTCAGCACTGTACAGCCACCGTGACAAAGATATGACTCAAAAAGGCATTCAAATGAATGTGTGATGAGATGCTCTTATCATAAAGGAATGCATGTTGATGTCATCTCCAGATGCTCCAAAGGTTACCTCAGTGTTGCTAAATCCCCCTGGTGAAATCATGGAGAACTATTCTGTTACTCTGACCTGTAGCACTGATGCTAACCCAGCTGCTAATTACACCTGGTACAAGAAGAATGGAAATTCAGACTTTCAGCCTTTCAGTGAAGAGCTGCAGCTTGTCTACAGTTCCATTCAATCCTCTGACTCAGGAGAGTATTACTGTGCAGCTGAGAATGAGCTGGGGAGAAGGGAATCTGGACGCATCATCATTAATGTAAAACGTGAGTGAAAAATGTCATCTATACCTTATCGGACACATTAGATTTTGCCTATTTTTTGTTGCCAAAAGCTAAAACAGAACCAACGTTTAACACATTATTTTGTAATGTGGCAGGGCATCCTGTAACAGTGCTACCAATTTTATAAATATGGCTAAAGTACTTTATTAGTATGAGATGTATGCTTAAAGATGTAATGCCCCAATGTCATTGGATGGCATTGTTACAATTGTTAAAAACAGTAGTATTCTTTCTAGCTCATGGCTGACTTTTCTGACAAATGATTCTCTTATCAAAGACTCATGAATTGTTCTTTTTTTCCCCAACCAGATGCTCCAAAGCATCCCTCAGTGTCAGTGATTTCCCTTGACGAGATAATGGAGGGCAGTTCAGTGACTCTGACCTGTAAAAGTGATGCTAACCCAGCAGCTACTAATACCTGGTACAAGGAGGGCAACTCACTATTTGAAGGAAAAGGAGGCATTTATTCTTTCACCTCTATCAGGTCTAAGGACAGCGGGATCTACTTCTGCAAGTCTGAGAATAAGTATGGTCAGAGGAACTCCTCAAGATTACTTATAGATGTTCAGTGTAAGTACAATAAATCACCAAATCACATCAACACTTCATGTATTTAAGTAGATATATAGTTAATATAGTTGCAAAGTTGTCACTGTAATTTACATCATTCCTTCTGTTCATGCTGACTAGGAAGGTATCCTTTCATAGAGAAAGTACATTAATCAAGTGCATGAGTGATATATCCAGTTCTGTGCAGAGAAAAATTCAAAGTTCGCCTGAACCTCATGAAACCCAGTCTGGATTACACAAACCAACTGTAACTTCCAAAGTTCCCACGTGGGAAGACTTCAAACAACAGTTTTTCCTTGCCTTCATAGTTTTATTCTTTTGCATCTTCTCTAGACCCTCCGAGGCTTCCCACTGTGTCATCAAGTCCATCCTTTGAAATAATGGAGGGTAGTATGGTGAACCTGACCTGCAGCAGTGATGCTAACCCAGCAGCCAAATACACCTGGTACAAGATAGATGAAAACACACCAATAGCATCAGGACGGATCTTCACAATCAACGACTTTGGCTCTGAACACAGTGGGAGTTATTTCTGTGAAGCTCACAACAAAAGAGGATGCCATAACTCGACACTGCATTTGGTTGTTGTTTCAGGTGAGTTTTGTTTTTTCAACATGAATAAACTTCCACATCATCTTGGCCTTCCAGTTAAGTTAATTGAGCCAATAACAGTACATGCCTGCTAAGCGACACTACATAATTTATTTCTGTAATTTAAACCTACCTGGATGAAAGCCAAGGGGCCCACTCACAACATAGAGTCTTCTGCAGATTAATATACAGTCCAATGTGGTCTGAGGTTACAGCTAGCCTAAAAATTGAAACTGTGCTTTTCATATTGCCTGGTCCTTGTGTGTGTCATTGCCAAAGGAGACCACTCGAGGGGTGTCAGCGTGCTAGCGCTCATTTTTGTAAAGCACTGATTTGTTTGTTGTCTCTGACATTCTCTATTTGTTCTTTGTTTGTAATGTATGCATAGGTCTGAGTGGAACTGAATTGCCCTATGGGAGAATGAAAGCTTTCTAAGTCTAAGTCTAAAACAACATGTAATTCTCTGATTACCAAATGGAATTTCATCTCTGCTTCCTAGATTCAAGGACTTCAGTAACTGTTGGATCGCTCACTGTTATTTTTCTGGTTATCATTTTGCTTGCCATCTTCCTATTGACAAGGTGAGCTGTTCATTTTGTGTGGTTTGTAATCCAGCAACGGAGCTTGAATTCAGTCAGGTTTTTAAAAAACTACATTTGGTTATATATTTTTTATAAATCATTTTTGCATCCAGAAGAAAGATGTCCTCAAAAGAAACCAACCAGACTGGAAAGAGGGCAGACAACAAAGGACAGGTAAAGAAGAGTTCAGCTACCATACTGTCCATTTACAATTCAAACAATGCTACTTAACGACCTTCTTTGTATTATAGGGTTACCTTTAATTGCCTTGTCATACCATTTTGCCATATGTAATAATCAGATCCACAGACTGTATAAAAAGATGGATGACATAAAAGCTCCCCAGAAGTGAAACCAAAAATATATAAAGCTCCCCCATGACTGCAGTAGAGTTCATAAAGTCCCCCTCTTTCATGTTAAATACACGTCAAATGTTTTTTAGTTAGTTTTTACCATACTGATTTATGCCTGATTGGTCATTTTTCTGAGAAATTCAGTTTTAATCGGTTAGTTGATGCTATAAAAAGGAGTATAACATCATGAGTGACAGCTCTTTTGACTAACACAAACCTGATTATATATATTAAATGTTCAGATCCTATTGTGCTATGACAGTGACTTTAACATTGTAGCAGATATGGCTTGAGCCCTCTGTTAAGATTGGGCATTTATCGCTCTTTCTATGCCAGAGTTTTGTTACAACAGATTGAATTAGATATTCTTAAATAGTATCTACCTGTACAATGACTAGTAGGGACAAAAACAAGTGTACTCATAACCCCCTTTCCTTTGTGATGCAATGTTTACTCTTCAGCTTAATATGGATTTGGTTTATGAAAACGCTTCAGCATCAGCACATGGACAACCAGATGAGGAGCAGGAAGATCTTTATTATGCCAGCGTAGGCTTCTCAAAGAACAAGGAAGACCCTCTCTACTCTAACGTTGTGCAAGCTAAGCTAACCAGACCCACAAATAAGAAGGAAAAAGACGAGGATGAGGAAGAAGATGAGGATGAGGATGATGTGGAATACACTATGGTCAACGTTAAGAGTGCAAATGCCATTTCAGAGTGAGTCTGTGTTTAAAAAAAAAGTTTGGCATTTGCATGTGGTTCTTTACATTGTGATGTTCTTTTTTGTTTTTTAATCAAAGTTTTTGAATTTCACAGACTAAGATGTCAGGAGAAAGTAGAAGATTCGTCTGCACTGTACAGCACGATCACCAAGTAACCAAGAGTACCAACACCATAAATTTGTGTGCTTCGTTAAGAAATTAAAGAATATTTCTCTGGACCATTCCAGTCAGTAGCAAAGAATGAATGGCACCCTGTCAAAATGAAGAAACACAAAAACAAACTGAACTTCCTCTATTGCAGTCTCAAGTTTATTTGGGGAGAATCTGTTTGCATGTCTTGTGATTCTTGCCATATTTGATGTTTCTATTTAAGCACTTGCTATGCAAGTTTTTAAAATACTAGGGATCCAGCCGTCAAAGGAACTGCAGTTTTGAGTATTTTAGCATTTACTTCATTTTTCATCCCCAGAGGAAGGCACTTGGTTTATACTCTGTGACACAACACCATGGTCATCCGTTCTGCTGGAATGCCTTCAACCTGGTTAAACTGTTTGCTCAGTGCTCCAGGTGACATGTGTAAAACTGATAACTGTTTTAAATGTGTTGTAATAACCTCCAGCCTTTGATAGAGTACATGTATCAGTTATCTAGCAGGTTGTCAGTTCATTATGTATAAAGCTCACACATAATTAGCTTACTAAGAATATCTTTTACACAATATTTATGAACTTTCCATGAAGTTTCTTTTTTTAATATCTCTTTTCTTAATGTCAAATATTTCATTGTATATTATGCCTCTGTTCATTATCCTGAAGCTGTTGAATCTAATATTTGAAAAGAAATACAGACATGAAGTTATTAAATTATTTCCCCGAGCTGTAAAGATTTTCATGCAAGCTGATCAATAATAAATATACCAAGAAACCAACATTTCCTTTTCCAGTGAAATGCTAAGTTCTACTTCTGTACTTTTCTTTGTTTTATTTAATGTAAGTGGTGCTCTGAAAAGAAAGTGGGACTTGAGATCATGTCCTGCCTAAGATCTTTTTTCCTTGACTAAATTTACCACACACAGAGAAGGTATAATTAATGAAAAGTATCAGGCTAATTTGTGCTGCGTTTACAGTACAAGCTGGAAAGGTCACTTTTAAAATCAAACGTTGTACTTAAAGAGTTTGCAGGATGGGTGACTTTTCCCCTCACCTTTGCAAAAACATGTCTGACTTTAATGGTTTTTAAACATGTGCTCATGTAAATTGGTAACATTTGCATGCATTTAAAACTTCTTTCTTCCATTTTTTAGTTAAATTACGTAAAATAAATAATGCTAACTGTTTGGAACTCACTTTGTTACAAGTTAAAGACATGCAATGAAAATGTAAGTTTATTTGCAGACACATGAGCTACTTGGGTGTACCCTGGGTGTACCATGTGTTCTGACACATAAGCAATTTTATGAAATAAATATTGATCCACATATAGGGATATTTTTTAATATATGCTCATTATATGGTTTATAAGACGACCAATTTTTGCATTTATTCTGTTAATCAGATTCTACAAAGTAAAATGTTCCCCTTTTTTTTCTAAAGATTTATTTTTGGGCTTTTTGTGACTTTATTGGAGGGATAGGACGGTGGATAGAGATGGAAACCAGGGAGAGAGAGAGTGGGGAATGACATGCGGGAAAGAAGCCACAGGTCGGATTCAAACCCGGGCCACCCACTTGGAAGACCACAGCCTCCATACATGGGGCGCGCGCACTAAACACTGCACCACCAGTGCCCCGTAACTTCCCCTTTTAAAGAATTCTGTTGTAAAAAGTTCTGTAATTGTCCCTAAATGGAAGAGGAGTATAATATGGAGAGGAGAAAAAGAAATAATTAACATCACAAGTATCACAAAATTTTAACAATTACAGTTCTTTGGTCAGTGTACTTATTTACTTTATTTACTATTCACTGTTTCTTCCATTGTGAGAGTAGTATCACCTGCATTATTTTGTAAAACTTAGAGTTGTATATTTTTATTATTATTATTTCACGTTTATTTGTATAGGAGCAAGAATAGGGCAAGCAAACATACTCCAAAGCATTCATAACTCAAGCTAATTTGCAATGTCCATCCCTATGGGACAAAAGGCACATGGTAACAAATCACATTTTTATTTTTATGCAAAATTGCCCTACTGTAATTTGTGTTAATGGTTGGGTGCGATTAGATGTATGGTGCTGTCACCAACATGACCTTGAGTTTAACGTGCATGTAAAGTTCATGCATGATTAAACAACAGAAGTACTCGTTTCTTCATTTTTCATTTCATCTTGGGGATGTACAGACCATCAGCTGCTCATGCTAATTATGAAAAGAGGAAGGAAGGCAGGGGAGATTTGAGCAATCGTCGTATCCTCCAAAAGACAAGTTTCCTTTCAAGACTCGATTAACCAGCAGAGATGTTAGTTTACTTGAACATCAGAAATAGTGTTTAGTATTTGCATCTTATCTTTCTTCTGATAATTTTTGCCATACAGAAATCAGCAGAATGGATATGAGTTTAACTGCAGCAGCGACGGGATTCGTTGTCTGTCTTCTCTCTTTGTCAGGTGCGCATGCTAACTTTTTAATGTTATTTGCCAGTTAAAAATCAAACATACATGAATTTGATTGTGTTGTAATGCAATATCATGTTTACCTGAAATTTGAAATCTCAGCATATTTGGAGGGTTTTATCTGTATCTTAGTAGATAAAAGTAAAATAAATCACCAGTTTCATTCTTTAAAGTTGGTGTAACTGAATGTACATCTCTATCTTCAGTCTATAACGTGTTTCAGCTGACAGAAATGTATAACCGCAGCCTTCTTATTCCTCATAAAAGGTCAAATACAAAAAAGAAACCAATGTCAATAAAAGCAAGTTTCTCTTGTGTGTGTAGATCACTGTTAGCAGTGATTACCATGCTCTGGACTGGCTTTTATGTCTTCACAGAAAAAGAGATTGTCGATTCACAAAGGCCCAAAACATGTTAGAAGTTGGAGAGCTCCCTTTATGAGAGAGAGAAAATAGAACCATTTAAATATAACAATTAGACAGTGTCTTTGAATCAATTTAATCACTACCTGAAAAAAGTAACTGGGACTATTTTACATTTTCTTATCCTCCACTTTCTGACATCAACATTACATCAAAGTTAAGTTTTACCACAATGACATTTTTACCTTATATGCCGTTTGTAACACCTTATAGCCTGCTTCCAACAAACAGATAGTTAAGAGTTTCACATCCTTATTCTGCAAAGACATCTCTGACCTGACCACAGACATGAAACTAAGCAAAACAGGATGTGTTTTTCTTCTAATAATCAATGTTCTGTTGCTTCTAAGCAGTAAAACTGCACTCAAGTTTCCATACTTTTCTGGCCCCTCGCCCATTTAAATGCTTAAGTGTACATAGATTATTCCAGTTTTATTCTTCTATTTCTTTCAAAAGCTCTGAAGGCAAAATAAGCTTACTTTATGTATAGGCTCCATTTGTGAATAATCTGTGTTTTAAATTGTTGGAGGATTTATAAAACCCCTTTTTTATATTAAAGATATATCAATTTATTCAAGGCCAACACTTTTACAATTACATCAAAGAATATAGATAACTTAAAAAGCAACACACATCTATCCATCCATCCTTTGTCTTCCACTTATCTTGGGCAAAGTCATGGTGGCAGCCGGCTAAGCAAGTTGACCCAGATGTCGCTCTCTCCAGCAACATTTTCGAGCGCTTCCTGGGGGATTCTGAGGCATTCCCAAGCCTGATAGGATATATAATCCCTCCAGCAAGCTCTGGATCCAGCCCGGGGTCTAGATGTGCCTGGTTAAAAGGAGGCATCCTAATCAGATGCCTGAACCCCTCAACTGACTCCTTTCCATGCAAAGGAGCAGAGGCTCTACTCCAAGCTCCCTCAAAGTGTCTGAGCTCTGCACACTTTCTCTAAGACCACCCTTCAGAGCAAACTGATTTGAGCTGCTTGTATATTGTGCTGGAAATTTCTGTTAACAATGCAAAAGAAAGGATCATGAGTCAATCAATGTCTTTGTTAAGTTTAATTCTTCTTGCAAGTAGAAGGAACAAAGCTTCAAAGTGTCAATACAGTCTGAAGGAAAGCTCCAAGTAATCACAATATGCTTGGGTTTATATACACATGCTTCACAGAAAAACCTTCATGCCTATATAAGGATTGCCGACAGTCAAATATCAAATACATTTCGTCATACATTTCAACACGTCGCACAACAGTAATGTCAAGGAAACTTCAAGTCTGAGTATCTTTGATATTTAGCTATTTGTAAGAAACCTTCATCCTTGGGTAAAGACAAAACAAGAATATTACGTATTCAATTATTGTTGCATTTCTCAAACGAGCTCTAAGTAAAATGTGTCCTCGACAGTAAACAGAATTTTTCCATTACAATATGCAACCTCATTTATTCAGTAATTACCCATAGCCCATGACCAACTGGTCAACTGGTAAATTGAGAGCTTTACCTTCAGTTATAGCTCCCTCTTCACCATCAAGTTCTGGTATAACACTCGCATTACTGCACCAACCGGCCTGTCAATCTTAAATCCACGTTACCCTTGTGAAAAACACCCCGAACACCACGAAGATACTTTAACTCCTTCACTTGAGGGAGAGACTCATTCCCCACTCAGTGGGAGCAATCCACCATTTCCCCAGCAGTGAACCATGGCCTCAGACTTGGAGATGTTAAACCTTATACCCACCACTTTGCAGTTGGTTACTTCTGATGGTCACTTTACATCACAACCGCTTCCATCAGTGTATGAATGGGTGTGAGCGGGTAGGTGTGACATGTGGTGTTGAAAAAATAAAGGGCTTTGAGTAGTCTGAAGACTAGAAAAGTGCTTTACAAGCTAAAGTCCATTTACCAAACAAAAGGTGGCAAAACAATGACGTCATAATAAATATGAATTTATTTCAAAAGATAGTTAAATGGATGAGATAATTGGTAATTAGCTTAAAGTTGTAAGTATCTTTAAAAACCAGTTAAACTAGTGGAAAAGTAACAGTTCATAGAGTTAGCAAATATATCTTTTGAGAGGTTGACTGTTGATATTTAACGTTTTCCAAAGCACTTGAAAAGTATTTAATTCCTACATGATTCCGTCTGATTTTAATGTATGTTCTGTTTTATGTCACAGTGGTACAGGGTCAAGATCGCTGGGGAATAGCTTACTCTACTTCTGAGATATGTGCTTTAAAAGGAGCAACAGTGGAAATAAGCTGCACCTACAGCTACCCAAGGATGATCAATGGCCTGCCTACCGCAGTTGAGAATACATTCTGGTATCGTAAACTGCAGGATAAAGTGCCCTTTGACCTGAGGGCCGACGCAGAGTATGCCGGTCGGGTGCAGTATCATTGTGAGGAAAACAGCTGCACTCTGAGAATAACAGACCTGAGAGAGAGCGACTCGGCTCAGTACATACTCAGGTTCATGACAAACCAAGAAGGTGGGAGTTTCAGTGGTGCTCCTGGAGTCTATTTGTCTGTTACAGGTAATATTATGGTTGGATGTCAGATGCTCATCATCAACAACTCTTAATAAATGATTAAGTTAATATTGACATATGTTGACAGCAATGTGTGAGCTCATATTTTTTTTTACTTTATAAATTCAGGTTTCCAGGTGCAGATTTACGAATCAGAACCATGCAAAACTTATGACTGCACATGGTCCCATTTTGAGTGTAAAAGCAGATGTCGTCTACCTGGTCAGACTTCCTACATCTGGTACAAGAATGAGGAGAAAATTCAGAGGCTAGCGTCAAATTCTTATGAAAAATATTTTTATTCTGCAAACAGTTATTCTTGTGCTGTACACGGATACGAAGAATCACCCTCGCCTTCAGTGTGTGAGTTTATACCACAGACTGTTAACATGATGCTGAATTTTTGAGATACTCTATTATTTTGTAACATTGGTGTTTATATAACATGGGCAGCCTCATTTATATCTTTTTTTTTGTAGGTGGCCATGGTCATTCATGCAACAGAGTGATGTACAATGACAGAACAATCTGTGCCTTCAAAGGCTCATCAGTGGACATTTCCTGCACTTACAACAGTTATGGTAATATAATATCAAAATTCTGGTTCAGTCGTGAACAAAGTCACCATCTGGGATATTATAAACGACCTAAGGACCTCAGTAAAGCCTCCCAGTATTCAGATCGTTTTCAGGTTATTGAAACAGAGAGAGGACGCTCCACTCTGAGAATCTCTGACCTGAGCGAGGGAGATTCAGCAGAATATTGCTTCAAATTCAGAACAACATATTTTCAATGGCAGAGCAAATTTCCTGGTACATCTCTGACTGTCAAAGGTACTGATGCAATACATTGTTTTGTCATTGACTGTATGCTAGAAGTGAACGTAGCCACAGTGATCTGTTCAGTTATAGCAGCTTGCATGTATATTAACTAGAAGAGTGTAATGTTGTAAAGCCAACTGTGTGTTATTTACTGTTAATTGAACCAGACTTTTCTTTGTTCACAGATCCTGATTTACAGGTCCAGGTGATCTGGTCTGCTATGGGTCCAAGGCTCATTTGTCACAGCAGCTGTATCCATGGAGGTCGCTCTCCCTTTGTTTGGTTCAAGAATGAAACAAAAATTATAGAAGAAACCTCTTCATCTTATCAAGGATTAGTCGACCCTGCAGACATGTATTCCTGTGCTTACGAGAGATATCACTCTTTTTCTGTGTGTGAGTCATCTCACTTTGTTTCACACAAATTGAATTTGAAGGAATCTTTGCTAAAGTCACAATTCTTACAGAAAACAATAGACATCACATCACTGTTTGAATGTAAAGTTATACTTCTGTTGGACCCGGGCGTTGAAGGTTGCTAGTGTTGCTTTGTATCTGCAAGATGTGTAAAAAGGCATGAGCATGCAAGTAATTTAATCATTACCTAACAAGATGATCATATCTAATTTTCTGAATGTTTGTCATTACCTTTTAGTTGACTTTTAAAATATATTTTGTGCATAGCTCATTTCAGCTGGCAATAAGGGACAATAGCTTTTTTTTTGGAACTTTAACCAAACAAGAATTTTAGGTGAAAGTCAGACAAAATTCAACATATCCCAAGACTTCAGTTACATACTGTAGAATCCTTCTTTTAAGTAATATATGGACATACATGGGGATATATTTCAATCATGTCTTCTCAAAAATGCTTATTTCCCCCATTTTTAACTATAGCATTGTACACTGAAGTAAAAAACAGTTTTTGAACACTAGCCGGGCCAGTGTTGTTGTTTTTCACGTGAAGGACCTCTGAACCCATCCAAAAAAATTACTAAACCACAAAACCGAATTTAATCAGAACTTTTTTCAAGTGTCCCAATCTGGAAGAATTTTTCCTTTAAATGATCAGTTGTCAGTGTATGGAACCCATAAAATACTTATGTTTATTTATTTTTAACCTAAGAATAAAGTTGAAGTTAAAATACATTGCTGGAACCTCTTCAAGGACCCGAAAAGTTCCCCTGACCCTATTTATATAATCACTACTAATAAAGCAATGTTTTAATGTTTGGAATCTTGCTCGCTGCATATCTTGCATTTGCACAAAGACGCACAGGCAGGATTCACATCAAGATATTGGCTTTAACGATTATTCCAGTGTGCAACACTTGATAGCTTTATTCTTCTTAAATGACCACATACATTTACAAGCCATTTATTATGTCAACAGGTAAAGTCAGACTGACATTTTTGTATTATTGAATGTTCACATTATTTCCTCCAGATGCCCCGACACCTCCGTCAGTGTTGATGAGACCCACTGGTGACATAATGAGGAACAGTTCAGTGACTCTGACCTGTAGCAGTGAAGCTAACCCAGCACCTAGATACACCTGGTACAAGAAGAACCAATCACTGCTCAAAGAACCACACCTTTACCTCCACTCCGTCCAGTCTGCTGACTCTGGAGAGTATTACTGTACAGCTGAGAACATGCTGGGAAGGAGGAAATCAAAATATGTCTCTGTGAATGTGAAATGTAAGTAATAGCCTCTGCCAGACATGTTGTATCTCCTTTAAAAGGACAGGCTACAGATTGTGTCTTCTGTCCTCACATTCAACATTCAGAAAGCCTTTCAGTAGATGATGAAATCATCTTTTTTTTAATCAGTATTTGTATTCATATTAACAACATTTTTTAGGGATTTAAAAAGTTCAAATTCAATACATCTCCTTTAAAGTTTCAGATGCTTCAACCCTTCTTGAGTAATTGATATCTTCAATCAAACTTCTCTTCCAGATTGTCCACAGGTTGCAACTTTGTCAGTAAGTCCCTCTGGCGAGATAGTGGAGGGCAGTACAGTGACTCTGACCTGTAGCAGTGACGCTAACCCAGCAGCTAATTATACCTGGTACAAGGAGAACCACAAACTGCTTGAAGGACAGGAAAGCATTTATAATTTCACCAACATCAGCTCAGAGGACAGAGGGCTCTACTACTGCAAATCTGAAAACCAATATGGAAGAGTCAACTCCACTTCTCTATTTTTAGATGTTCATTGTGAGTACAAAAGTTCCTAAAGTTTCCCTATTATCATACTCTTATGGGTAGGCCTACACTAGTTCCCACTACACACAATACTGTTTATCGACTTCATTGGCCGAAGTTTTAATCTGCTGTGGCTTCTTGTTTTTTTTTTTTTTTTAGGTTATTCTGTACCATGATATCAGCCACATTTTAAGATAACGTAAAGAGCCAAACAGAATACAGAATCTGAGCAAGAATTAGAAATTTAGGACAAAGGCTTGGAATGTAAATTCAGCAAGGAAGCTCAACATTTAGGTCGACTCACAGATAAACTATAATATTTTCCTTCAGATGGTCCAAAGCTTCCCTCTGTGTCAGTAATTCTCTCTGCTGAGGTCGTGGAGGGCAGTTTGGTGACTTTGATATGTAGCAGTGATGCTAACCCAGCAGCTAATCACACCTGGTATAAGGAGAATGAAGACTCACCTAAAGCTTCAGGACCGAGCTTCACCATCAGTGACTTCAGGGCTGAACTCAGTGGAAATTATTACTGTGTAGCCCAGAACACATTAGGACGTCACACTTCTGCCTTTCATATGATGGCTATTGCAGGTAAGTCACTGGCTTCTATTTATATACCAATTCTCAAACTTACCTGTGATGTTGCAGAAGACTGCTAGCAATATAGCTAACCAAAATGCAATTCATGTCGTTTATAGATTACCATGTTTAAGTAGTCAGAATTACAGTTTGTGCAGTGTTCATTTTGTTAACCTAAATAAGATGATTAATGTTGTCAGCAACTGTTTTTCCATAATGAAGACGAGACTTAGAGGAGCCAACAATCTATTTTAAAAAACAAAACTTTTAAAATCCATGATATGTCCCCAACAGTAAATCTAATCTGTGAGTCAAATCAAAACACAAGCAGGAGAGCGAAGAGATGTTTGTGCGCTGCCAGGCAGAGAGCAGGAGGAGTGTGTGTATGTGAGGAGTAGAGAGACTGAGATAATTGCTACTACAACGAGCATTGAAGAGCTAACAATGCTAAAGCAGTGAATAACTAGGGTCTGTATTGTTGATAATATTAGTAACCTCAAAGGGTTGAGGTTGAAAACCTCAGAGAGAGAGAGATTAGAAAAGAGATCTGAGATTAGAAAAGAGATCTGATCTTAGTGGGACTCAGCTGGCTAAAGAAAGGTTAAGGTTTCCCTTTATAAAGATAAATAAAAAGTAGTTTGAAAGGTTCAATCTGTAGCTTTTCTGAGCTTAAAATATATACCATCATACATACTATCATGTATAATTTAAAAAATGAATGAAAACATAAATAAAACAAACATATTGTAGACTCAGAACATAAAACCAACGCAGGTGATTCGACCAATGGGCGCAGCACGCATTGAACATTTGACCTTACTTTGCTACTTCCTCCTGTTAGCCAGGGCACAATTGTTTGTACCGTTAGCAAAGGGCAAACATTTATCGTTTTCTAGTCCCTCAACAGCCACGTGTGAACTCAGAGACTCAATCCAAACTGACGGAGACACAGGTGTGTGAAAGCGTGTGTGTCACGGCCTCGTGGGCGTTGCAATAGAAATTACACTGGTGACTGGCAATGGGAACCCTAAATCTCAAAGCACCCTCGCCGAAAAGTTTTGCAACCCCATAGCACCAACAAAAAAAGAAAAATCTCTGGCGCCACACATGCAGAACAAAGTCAACAGAGAGCCACTTTTATTACAATTCACCAAAAGCAAACCAAAAGGATAAGCATTTCTGCCAATTAATTTGTTATCCATCAAACAGTAACAGAACAGCCACTAGAGTCATGAAGCTGGCATGCCTTCATGTTGATTCTCGGTTGCTGCATCCTCTAAGTCTTCATTTTTCTAATTTTTCACATCTCTTTGTGTATCTTTGTGTCTGTCGATCTGGTTTGCGTGATTGTTGATTAGAAATTGTTAATTTTTTCATTGCCTGTGCATATCATCCCAGCTAGTATGAGACGCAAAGCGGACGTAACGTTGCTGCACAAGTGTGCAGTGATGACAGGTTTGACAGTTAGCTCCCTTTTAGGAACTCAATTTATAATAGTAAAAAGTGAAATATAATGTGAATTTTTTGATGCTTGTAGATTAGTTTATTTACATATTTATCAAATTTATCAAATGCATGTCATTATATGTATTGGCTGCTTTATCATATGATCATAAGCTACCATGGTGGCCACCAGAGTTGTCTGATCCCTGGTCTAGAAAACAAGGTGGAACGTTTAAATTCATGATTATGAAAGGAAATATTTACAACTGAACACCTTTGGGAGATTATGGAGCAATTATATAAGCTGTTAATACTCAATCAGCTTGATCAGATTCCCCTATCAGTTGTCAGAATTTATCTCTCGTTATCCAGGGGCAAGGATGTCAGCAGCTGTAGGAACAATCACTGCTGTTCTCCTAGCTATCATTCTTCTCACTGTCTTCTTTTGGATAAGGTGAGGAGTTGTGTGTCTCTATGACTGTTTCAGTTTGCTACATTTTTTATTAATTTCATTTTCATTCATTGATTTGCTGATCTTCCCATCCAGGAGAAAGAAGTCCTCCATACAACAATCCACGGGTAGTAAGAGACCCGGTAACAGAGCACAGGTGAGAAAGGATGAATGCAAGTATTTCAGCAAAACTGTCTGATTACAGTTACTTTCCCTAAACATTTTATTTAAACATTTTCAACATTTGAGGTTATTTCTCATGGGATGACAAATATTTACCTCTCACCCATGGGTACAAATAAAGTAACTTGAACCTGAACCTTCACTGAATATCTATCTATGCTTTTGGAATGATCTCAGAAAGTGAATCTTCAGGAATTACTAAGTCCTTATATACAGGGACCTCTGCTTGCGTTTAGGCATTGCAACAGCACAAATCCGTATCTCAATTCTAAGGATCACCATTGTTAGGATCAGAAAAGTTTAATTTCACAATAAAGAGCATCGAGTAACGTGACAAGAAAATATCAGTTTCTGTTCAGGAATTGTTAAAAAACAAAAAGATAACCCAGATTTAATAGGTATATTTACTTAAGGAAGAATGTGCAACATTTTACACATAAATAAAGTAGAAATAAAGTCTATCCTGTGTAAATGTCATTCTGAGTCATGACTGTCTACAATGAGTGACAAGCCCGAGTCGCCAGCTGTATTGTTGTCTGAGCTGTGTTTACATCGTGTTTATATGGACAGCCTTACATATAAAGCTGTTTAAGTCAAGGACTAGAAAAAAGAAAAATAACATACTCACTGCTAATTTAGATGTCATGAAAGTGTGTTTAGATCATGTTCATTCCATGTCAGTTTATGTGCAATGTGAAGCTACGAGTTAACCAAAGTGTGCTAACATTAGCCTGCTAACACATCAATGCAGGACATAGGCAATTGCAGCTAGAGCAAAGGCGAATTTTGTCCACCGCTTGCGCTTAATGATGTTTACCTATGGTGCGTTCTATTTGATAACACCTTTGTGCGAACGTGATTGGAGAGGAGTTGGAGGTGTGCCGCTGAGAGCAGAGGCTTCTGAATAGCAGAGTTGTTGACAAAAAGTGGTTTGTTTTGGTTTAATGCTGGTGCTGAAGGGCGACATCTACTGGATCAAAAAGTCACACATGCTTCCTTTAAAGTCAAGTTGTCCAACATAGTATGCTTGAGTTCTGTTTTTTCAATCAGCAAAATATAGGTCCAATGTGTGAGAACGCGTCAGCTGCAGCACAGAGACGACGACCTGAACAGCCGGATCCCCTTCGCTATGCCAGTATCCGCTTCTTTCAAAACCAGGCAGATGTTCTCTACTCCAACGTCAGGCCAGCCCGGCCCCACAGACGGTCACAGGAAGAGGACAGAGAGGATCAAACTGAATATGCAACTGTCCAAATAAAGACTGCCGGTAGACATCCGGGGTGAGAATCTCCTACGAAATCAAATGTGGAATTGCTAGATCCTCTCATAAAATAAATATACATTGAGTTTAACATAAATTTTCCCCTGAACTGATCAAGACACCAAGAAGCAAGAGAGGATTCCTTTTCTCGGTATAACACTGTCAAACCAAGATAACACAAGCACTTCTTTCAAGGAGTTACCCTGAGGATTAAGACCCCATGCAATCATACTGAGCGTCTAAAAATCCAGTTTACCTTCAAAAATACACATTTTCATCTTCTTTTGAGCGGTTGCTTGACCTCAATTACAATACCAAAACTTGTACTGAGCCTGCTCTAATTATTATTTTGAGTTTTATCAAGCGCATGAAACTTATTTCAGATATGATAATGAACAGCTGTGTTAAAACAGTAACTTTGGGGCAAAGCATGGACGAGTCTTTAGACCAAATTCACAGATTTTGCTACACATCATGAACAACTTCTTAAAGGTTTTCTGAGTAAATTTGACGTGGATATTTTCAACAGATTTGGAGCAGTACCTCAGTAATAATATGTAATTTCCTTTCACCACAAAAGGATGATATGTCTAATATGGAATATCAATCAGTCAATAAATCTTTTTTTGTATAGCTCAAATTCATAACACATCTCGAGACACTTTAAAAAAGCAGGTAAAACACCATATTTATTTTTTGTTATATAACATTACAAAAGAGCAGGTAAAAAGACCTACTCATTGGTGTATTACAAAGACCCAATGTTAATCTGTCAAAATGGAGGTGGACTAAATGATATACCTAGGAGGAGTTCATGCTATTAGGACCCCTGTAAATGGCCAAAACATAACACTGATATTTAGTCATTTTTTTTCCTAAATGGCAAGTTTCCTGTTGGAGTGATGGTATGGGCCCAAGAGGCTTTTTGATGATCTCTCCAAACCACATCTGCCCCATGTTGGATGCATGTGAACAGTTTCATGACTTTTCAAACCCAAAAGTTCAGGGAAAGACATAAAAAAGTAATAATAAATAATCCCTACCAGATAGGGTTCTTGCACCAGTCGGTACCTGGGGCTCCAATAATGTCCATCCATCCATCCATCCTACACATATCTACCTACCTACATCCATCCTCTGTAAGTTTTATTATCCAGTCAAAGGTTTTGCCGATCTTCCACTGTCTACTTTAAGCTCTGTCTGTTGAATATTTAGTTTAGTTCTCTGGGTACATTTGTTTTCAAATCTGCACAAATAAACTGTTTGCTCTTTCTCTACACATAACCAATAGACCAATAGTCTTGCTGACTACACCTACAGTGACTTAACTGACTGTTTCAAACCTTTCATCACATTCTTGATTAGGTTAAACCACAAAAACAACTTGGTAAGGTTTAGGAGACAATTATGGGTAAAAATATTGAATTGACATTGACAGTTTGTTTCATGCAGGACAGGTAGGGATTATATGGTAGGCTGGGACAGATAATAATTATATCTTAATGACATTCTCCTTTGATGAACTTTTCTTCGGGGGAGGAAAGTTACATGTTGTTGCTGGAAAAATCACTGTTGTTTACCGTTGTAATTATTGTTTTTGTTTTTTCCATTCTTCCTACAAGAAAAAGGAGGACTTCCAATAAACATTCAAAGACTGAAAAGAGACAGGGCAACATGGGGAAGGTAAGAATAGTCATTTATATCATAGTAGTACAAAATATGCATATTTATTCATACTGCTATCTTATAAGTCATGAATCCAACAGACTAAATGAGCAATATATAGAAAGCATGTTGAATACATTGGGGCGGCTGTGGATCAGTGGTAGAGTCGGTCCTCTCTCAACCAGAAGGTTTGATCCATAGCTCCTGCAGCCACATGTTGATGGGTACTTGGGCAAAACACTTAACCCCAAGTTTCTCCCGTTGCGACGTCAGGGGCGGGGTATGGACATTAATGAAAGAGTTAGTAATGATGGACACTTTATGTAGAAGCCTCTGTGATCAGTGTGTGGATCAGGTGTGACCTGCAGTGTGAAAAGCGCTTTGAGTAGTCAGAACACTAAGAAAGTACTATACAATCTTAAATCCATTTACCATTTAGAGGCAAATATTTCAGTCAAAAACTGATCAGCTGACTTGTTACAAGCAATTATATCATTCCAATATTTTCCCCAGACATCATGAAGCATGGTTAATACTGGCTGTCATGAAAGAACAATTCATATTTGTCCAATATAAACAGGTTCCTGATGCTTTTATTGTACTGTAGCACATAACACCTTAGATGTTAAACTTGCACTCATTCAAACAAGGGGGCACTTGATATGTGCTCCTAATTCTTACTGTATTGCAAGAGCATTTTCAAGAGCACTTTCATGCCCCTGATTGATCACAGTAATGTTTTATGCATCTTCTCAGTGTCTAAAATCTTTGTTTACTGTATATCATGGCGCCTTGAGATTCAAATCTTAGTGCCCTGACTTATCATTGTATATTATCGCGTCTGCACTTTTGTGCGCTCTCTCTGTCTATGTGTGGGAAACTATTTTTACAGTTCATTCAAAAGCTGGTCTTTTTAAAAGTAGATTGATGGTGTAGAGAAAGATGCTTCAGGGTGTAGATGCTTGTGTTTTATGTTTGTCTGTTGTGCTGCTGCCCCTCTTGGCCAGGACTCTCTTGTAAATGAGATTCTTAATCTCAATGAGGTTTCTCTTGGTTAAATACATCTGAAATAAAGTATCTTTAACACATCACACTGTAAGTACTCTTACCTAAGCCTTCTCTATCTTGGTTGTTGCCCTCTACTAAAATGCAATTTAGAAATGTAAAATATGTTAATCAAACTCAAACTCCACTTAATCAGAGACCACCAGAGGAGCTGGACGACCTTCAGTATGCCAGTGTATACTTTTCTAATTCCATCAGACCAGCTCGGCCCCGCAGACACACAGAGCAACAGGATGTCACTGAGTACGCAGCTGTGAAACTTAACAGCAACAGTGCTGCCATGAGGTGAGCAGCTATTAACAAAGGGACATCATCCTGACTACAAAATAAACATGAGATTGTTTACAGTTTTTCCGGTTATGATTTATTTTTCTGACTTGAACATCATTGTCACTTGACTTTTCCCCTCAGAGCTGGAAGTCAAGAAACTGGAGAGGATTCAGCAGCACTGTACAGAAATTGATTTTAATTTTGCCAGGTCCTATAAAATATGTTTCCATTTTCACTGCATTCTCTTTTGGTGCTTTTTACTTTCACAGTTAATTTTAGGTTTTTACTTTCTATTTCCTTCTTTCGCTGATATCTCTTTGTTTTCCAACTGATTTATTTAACCTTTTACCTTGTTATGGTCTTTCTTCTTTTAATGTATAATTCTTTTTTTTTCTTTAATAAAAGTTTTGTTAAAAAACTGAAGGGTTGTTATGAATTTGAAAGAAAGCTTCTTTGTGAGACTACAACTTCAAATCTGATTGCTGAAGATATTAATACCAACAGGATGTGTATCTAAGTCCTTTTTCTTTTAATAAAAAAAAAAAAAGAAACCCAGAGATGTATTAATACATAATAATAAACCAGTCTTGCAACTATTGCATCTTGGGACTTTTTGCTGACATTAATAATGCAATATTACATGGTTCATTATGTCATGGTGGTAAATAGTTTTCTCTTTTAATGTTAATGAGTTGTTGTGTTGAGGATTTTTGGGGTTAAGTAGTCTATTCTGTGAAGAGGAAGGAAGTGATGTACTAGCCCGTTCCTGTTTTTTCTATCAACATGTTTTATTGTAACTGAAGCTACGCTGAGATGAAAGGAGCAGCTACCAAAACTGCAACAAGGAGTGGATTTGTCGTCCTTCTTCTCTACTTGACAGGTAATTTCAGATTATATATAAAGTCCAAGAGTACATTTGATGAGATGAGATGAGATTCAACTTTATTGTCATTACACATATACAAGTATAGAGTAACAAAATGAGGTTTGGCATCTCACCAGAAGTGCAAATAAGCAGAAAGTGCAAGAGAGAAAGTGCAAGTGCAATTTGTTTCAAGTCTTCATCTTTTATTGTGTCTCTGTTCTTTGTACCATTACATTTTAAGAAATAGTTATTGTATTGTGATGATTTTGAAAAAACTCATATTTGTTTTTAGTTTTCTATTCAGGCAAAAAAAATAAAAAATTCAGTATCTCTTTACTTACAAAATGTGATTTTTAAAAAATCTAAATGTAAATAAAACAGAGATTGTTATTTTTGGAGAACCAAACCCACTGGATTACTGTGTGTTTTGGTTGTGAGACAGAGCAATGTGGGTAGGATAAAAAATAAATAAACAGTATACATAAACATAATGGAAGACTAATTAAACCTGAAATGAGCTGTAGTATAGTAATAATCATATGGGAAAGCTAGGGAAATGAAATAAATGAATAAACATATAAAAGAGAGGGGTGACAAAAAGCAGTGGAAAATTATTTTTTGTAATGATTGAACCTTTGACAGGGATACTAATGGTAATGAGAACGATTATGTAACGTTGCAATTGTGCAATAATTGTATCACATCCTAGAGTGAGTCAATAATTTATGGTTTAAAGGGCATATTGCTTCAATGTAGAGTGTATCATACACATATGTGTTAGTTTTAGTTTTCTCTCTTCAAAATAAGGACTTTGTAGTGGATAACTTTCACAGTGTGGTAAGAGTACTTTTAACTACCCCTGGCTTACATATTTTGAAGAGAAGAGCTACATGTGTAACCTTTCAGCTTTGTATATATCTATATAAACGGAAGCCTTAATCCTATAAGGTTACGGATACTGCTTGGGCAACAATTTATTTTTAGCTCCTCATCATTTTGTCTTTGTCATGAAAAAGGATTGTTGATGAACATTTTTGCCATATTTTTCATTCATCAACACTGTTGGAGAATAAGACATATTAAAAAGAGAAGTCATTGTTATTTGGACTGTAAATAAATGCAGTAGTGATAGGATTGCCATGTATTTTAATGTTAATTAAACATCCTTCATTATCTTTTACTTTTTTTTATAATTAAATGGACAAAAAAGGGAAGAATAATGACATACAATACAAGAACATAATAATTAAAATTGTACACAAACTACAAAACAAAGGCATGAGGGTCAGGCTAATGATGAAACAAAGGAGCATCTTAATTAAAGCAATCAGCATCTTTGTGTCTTTGCATCTTTAATGGTGGTGGTGGAAGGCGGTTAGAGGGGGAATGAGAATCAGCAGAATTTTGCAAGGGGCTTATTGTTTCATGGAAAAGTTTGCCATCAATACAGTTTGTCAACTAAAACAAATGTTTTTCTTTCCTTTCTTGCACATTCTTTTCACAGATGGGGTGTAGTGTTTTGGGTCTGCCCATTATTTCATGGGGGAAATGGTCGTTCATGCCAAAGTTGGTACCTGAGATTTCGGCTGTGTCGTTGTACATACTTTTCTTTACTGTATTCCCAATATTCAAATTTTGCAACGGTGGGTTTTCACCCTGTTGCTTTAGGATACTGAAAATATTGCCCATAATGCTGTGGGATTGTAGGTTGATACTGTTTTTTTCATTGGTAACGTTTGTGAGCTGTGTTGCTGGTCAGGTGACAGTGTTTGAGGGAAATGTTTTCTTCTTTCAGAGTGGTGAGTTACTCCTGTGTTTATTCAAGACTGCCACATATAGAAGTTGGAATTACTGGTAATGTACCTCAGTGAGTGCAATTCTTGCATTGAGTGTTAGTTACTGTAAAAGTTCACTAATCTTAGAACAGCATGATTTCCTGGCGTTTAGTTCTGGAAGGAATCAGTTTGGCAAAATCGTTTTTTTGTCAACTGGCTTTGGGATTAAATGTTCCTTTTTACGATCTCTTTAGATGTACCGGTAATTCATGGTGCAGAATCAAGTGACATATTTGTCAATTCATTCCTCAAGGTTATCCAGGACAGCCAGTTACGGTTGTGCAGCTGTGAGATAAAGAAAAGTGTGTTAAAGGTGATTAAAAAGAAAGTTGAAGAAATGCTGTTTGCAATCAACTGGTGGCTGCACATCTTGGATCTCACACCTGTCCTGTTGGATCCCTCAGTCACAGGATCATCTTCTCCTAAAAATCCAACATTGAGAAGTAATAAATGACTGAACTAGGTTTTCAGGTTTTGTTTAAGACATGATGAGCCTGAGTTCTTTTCTCCATGAGGTTTACATCAGCCTCCACAAATGATTAAATCTGTAGTCATGATTGTGATCAAAATGTCTTCTCTGTGTTACAGTGGTAAAAGGTCAGGATGGCTGGGGAGTGACTTACCCTTCTACTCAGATCTGTACTGTAAAAGGATCGACAGTTGTCATACACTGCACTTATACATTTCCACCCAGTTGGAATGAGCAGAATACAAAAGTTATAAAAACGTTATGGTTTACAAAAGTGAATCAAAATCAACCTGTGGATCTGATAACTGACCCATTGTACACTGGTCGTGTGGAGTATCATTTTCAAAAAAACAACTGCACTCTGAGAATCACCGACATGAGAGAGAGTGACGTAGCTGAGTACAAGTTCATGTTCATAACAAACCAACCAGAGGGACGTGTGACTGGTTCCCCTGGAGTTACTTTGTCTGTCACAGGTAACATTTTAAATTGAGTTATTTTTTGTTCCAATAGCTATCTGCTTTTTGAATTACTCTTGTTTGTTTGTGAGACTGCAAAAGCCCCATTAAGTCTATTTGAATAACAGGTTGTATCAGTGCAAAATAAAATACAAAAAAGGTGAAATGAGGTACATTTATTTCAGACATGGTATTCCTAAGGTGTAAAAATGTAATATCGCTATGTTGAATGTATTTGTGCCTTAATTCCTGTGCCTTCTTCACAGAACCAGATCTACATGTGGAGGTGATTAAATCAACTGAGCTGAACTGTCACAGCAGTTGTCATCTTCCTGAACGTCCTTCTTAAACAGCATAGTTTCATAATTTTATGTTTCACAGATATTTCTATAAAGGCTCCTTAAGGGTTTAATACGCTGCAACCAATGGTATTATGAACAAGAAAAAACATTTACCAATGCTTTGTAGATCAGTGATTTATGAAGAGTTTGTCTCTGGATTTCTAGCTCAGTAGTTCCTTAGAAAGATTCAAGTAACTGTTGAAGCCCCAGACTGCGTCCAATGATTCATCTGTTATGGCAAGTCTTTTTTGTAGACAGCAGTTTTGAAGCATTACCTCTAAATGAATTTGTAAACAGTTGAAATCTCCACGGCAGTTTTGAGGCACTTACACACAAGCTCCTCTTACTAGACGCAGAGGCTCTGTTCATTTCTTGTATTCTGTCCATGTGTCAGACATTGTGATGTTAATCAATGATATTTTTGTTTGCTTCCTTATTTATCCAGCTCTACAGGTGCAGGTGAACATTGTTAGAGTTGACAGGAGTAATACCTTTGCAGAGCTGAAGTGTCACAGCAGCTGCAGTCCAGCTGTTCATCCTTCCTACATCTGGTTCAAGAATGGAGAGAACATTCAGACAGAAACATCTTCTTTTAGAAGATATTTTTATTCTGAAGACAGCTTTGCCTGTGCTTTAAAGGGATATGAGAATTTCCCCTCTTCATCAGTGTGTAAGTTTTACATCACCATTATGATGGTGCCTGTTACTTGTTTTAAAAGTTTGCAATTCAGCAGCAGCTGGTAACTCAAAAAACAGCTGAGAGTAAAGATACTGCTTATGTCCCATGACAAGTGAAACAATTTGATCTATTCAAATAATATGGTTTAAAAGCTTAAATTTCGGAATGTAACATAAACTTGTGAAGACAAGAAATACTATATATCTTGTATGCGAAGTATTCACTGTGATGTATTGTATTTAAACTCCTGGAGAAAGCCTGTGATCATTCTGCTGACTGCTCCTATACTTCCAGTGGCCAGAGTTGTGCAATTCTAATTTACTTCTGTGCTTTAAAAATACATAAAGGAAGAATACAAACGTTATTTTTTAACATGTGCCTGGTTCCATTTTGCCAACAAAAACTCACTAAAATGTTACTTTTATTTTAGGTGTCCATGGTCAAAGCTGCAACAGAGTGATGTATGATGTCAAAAGCATCTGTTCCCTAGAAGGCTCATCAGTGGACATTTCATCCACCTACTTCAGTTACTGGTATTCCGAAACAAAATTTGGTTCAGTCCAGATCGTAGTCATCAGTGGCAGAATCACACACAGCCTGAGGACATAAGTAAAGACTCTCAGTATGCAGGTCGTGTTCAGGTTATTGAAACATGGAGACGACGCTCCACTCTGAGAATCTCTGACCTGAGAGAGAAGGATTCAGCGCAGTATCACTTTAAATTCAAAACATGGAGCTTTGAATGGAAGAGCAGCTTACCTGGAACAACTTTGACTGTAACAGGTACTCAGAACACACACAGAGACGTTAAAGTTACAAGGGTAATGTTGGAGGAGGACAAAAATCAACAAAAGAAACATGAAACCCTAAAGTTTTCATTGATGACTCGTGATTGGGATTTAAAGTATTTAAATTGTATAAAAAGTGCAGTTAAACTCTTCTCTTAATTTAAGATTAAACATAAATCTAATGACAATGTAGTAAAGGTCACTATTTGTTTCCTTTCACTTCCTCTCTTTTCCTACTGCACCTCCTTTAGTACACTTCCTGGTTTCTCTCTCTCTCCTCTCCCCCTTGATTGGTTGTTGTTTGCACTCTGTCACTAATTATTTAGATTGAATTCACCTGCCTACTCCTTATTTAAGACTGCACTCGCTTGCACTCATGTTTTCATCCTCACATGGGGCGGCAGTTCAGCAATGCATGGATGTTTAATCCCGTGTGTGTCTTCTGTTACCTCATGATTGACCTAATTTGAAGACATAAACTTGTTACATAAACTCATGTCTTGTTGGATTCCTGCATCCTGACCCGATACCCCCACTTATGTTTGGGTTATAAGTAAAGTCGATGTTTTGAATTATGATGCTTTCGACTGTAACGTTTATGATAATAAAATGTTTCACTGTTATCTTTTGACATTGTGGTTTATTCCTCACATATCTAGCTCTCAAGGTGCAGGTAACCATGGCAACATTTCAACAGGATCACACGGAGGCAGAGCTGAGATGTCACACAGCTGCAGTCCTGCTGGTCGTATTTCCTATGTCTGGTTCAAGAATGGAGAGAAAATCCTGAATGAGGAAAAGTCTTCCTATAAAGACCTGTTTTATCCAGGAAACAATATCTCTTGTGCTGTGAGAGGACTCGAAAGTTATCGCTCTGCCTCGCTGTGTGAGTATGCTTCAGTATGAAATATACAGAAAGATTCCATGCAACATAAAGGAGGCTCATGAAGTCAACCACAAGTTACCTTGGGTCTATTTTTTATAAATGACCTATTAAATGAATCAACTTTTTTATTTAAATTTTTACACCAGATGCTCTGAAAGCTCCCTCTGTGTCAACAAGTCCTTCAGGGGAAATAATGGAGGGCACTTCAGTCACTTTGAACTGTAACAGTGATGCTGACGGAGCAGTTAAATTCTCCTGGTACAAGAGGAATCGGACGCTGTCCAGCAAAGAAGCAGAGCTTATCTTTGGCTCCGTCCTGTCCTCTGACTCTGGAGAGTATTGCTGTACAGCCGAGAATGAGCTGGGGAAAAGAACATCTGAAGGCATCTTTATCAATGTCAAATGTCAGTGAAATGGTTATTAGATAAGAAAGAAAAATCGCTTGTTACAACAGCTCACAATAAAAGAGTAAATAGGGTAATCAAGAGATTAAAACAGAAAAACAACGAGGGCCATGTTAAGGATAAAATGACAAAATATAAAGTAATAGCAATAATAAACCATACACACAATTTACAACTTTTTCCTTTTAGGTAGATACTTCAGGTTAAGATTAGATATACTTAATTGGACTGGTTCAGTACAGGCCAGGCTAAGCTGTTAGCTTTTTTTTCCAGCAGTGTGACTGATGTTGGAAGGAAAGAGCTTTAATGGTTCCTTTTACACTTAAAGGCTTGGTTACGTCTGCCTGAAGGTAACATGATTTGTACTAGAATTTTGTAAACGCGAATGGTGTGTAGCATTATGATAGGAATCAGATAACATAGCTTATGTGGTTCGATCATTTTAAAAGTGTTTCTCTTGGTACAATTTCTTTCTAAATCCTCCATATATGTGCAATGTGGATAGTCCCTTTTCATGGAGTTGGAAAATGGTTTTAAAAAAAATGTAATATTATGGAGGCAACAAAGAATATGTTTTCGCACAGCTGAGAAATAGTCACCATAACTGTACAAGAACGTCAAAAAGTTATATTAATTAATATAAGTATTTGCCACCATAAGCTTTATAGATGGAGGGATTTATCACTGAAAGTTAGAATAAACATGGTGCTCAGGATATGCTACTGATGGAGGTCTATTGTAGGTATTAAAAAATGTGACCAACAATTTATTTACAAGAATGCATATGCGGGGAGATTTGTGCTGTTATTACTTCAAGTGCCATGAAACTAAGAATATCTTTCATGTTACAATACACATGCTACAGACAATTTAATCAAATCCGTTCAGGACACTAGGTTGTTTTAACTTATTCAGTTTATAAAACCTGCAAAGGTACAAAGTATTTGTGCAAGTATTTATGAAGTTTCTCTCTCCTAGATGGTCCCAGGCTTCCCACTGTGTCAGTGAGTCCCTCTGCTGAGATAGTGGAGGGCAGTTCAGTGACTATGGCCTGTAGCAGTGATGCTAACCCAGCAGCTAATTATACCTGGTACAGAGAGAATGAAGAGTCTCCAGAAGCTTCAGGGCCGACCTTCACTATCACTTACATCAGAGCTGAACAAAGTGGAAATTATTACTGTGAAGCCCATAATGGAATAGGACGCCATAATTCCATCTTGATTGTAATTGATGTGACAGGTAAGTTTCCATTCACTTACAGTGAATTTATACAACAACAGTAATCTGAACATATTAAATGATGCTATGCAAGGAGAAGAGAGCCACTGGTTGAATGTTCTGCGTGAAAATGCCCCGATCACGTCTGCTCTAAGATGACAAAATATGGATCATTCAACTGTGATCTTCACCTGGAGAAGGTCTGAAAAACTGTGACTGTGTTTTAGTTTTTCAAAAAGAAAATTGACACTGATTCTGAAATGTTTTGGACAAAATTTGGTTGGGAAAATGTCAGTATAATACAATAGCGTTAACATTACATACATTTACAGTTACTTTGTTAGACCAGTTACCAGTCGTTTCCCAAAGTAAGGTTGGGAAGCCCAAAAAAATCAATCTTTAAAGTTGTATATTTTTTCTATTATTGTAAAATATAAGCAAACAAGTAGTTCAATTTCAAATAAAACCATATCATGATGCGGAATGAAAGGAATTTGTAAAAATGCTTATTATTATTATTGTGCGTGGCTGTGCACTATGTTATATGCCTTAACCTACTCCAGGAACAGTGGGGGTTCCCAGTCTCTGACACTTTTTATTTTTTAGGGTTGCAAACTGAAACATGTGGGAACCCCTGTTCGACAATAGGTGCAGGCAGAAAACTGTGATTTCTCTGGTTTTATTTTAAGCCAAAAGTACACAAATTACTGTTTGTCTGGTTAGCAGTATCTAAGAACGTAAATCAAATTGTTCTTTTTTATTGTTCTATTTTGACTGGCAGTAATAGAAATCCTAAATAGCAGAGAACATCATATGACTGTTTTGAATGCTACAAGTATAGCAGAGGTGTTGAGACAGGGTTGTGTCAGTACTTAATGAAGCACATAAATGCTAACTTTAAAGAAATAGTCACATTTATTCCATATTAACCAACATAAAAGTGGTTCCAGTGTCGTGTCAGTTTATAAAAGAAGTTGATGATTTTATATCGGGGACATATTACATCATCATACATCAATGAAGTGCTATGCAGTGTTTGGAAAAGTATAACTCTACAATTTGAGATCAAATTAGTCAGCTTTTTTCAGCAAAGTAAACACATGTAAACATATGCTGTATAATTAGTATTTACATTAATTTAACCAAATGAGCGATCTTTGTTCAAATTTGGTTTATATTGGTAGAGTTGCAGAAAAGGGTTACATACTTCTTGTTTTCCAGGAGTCCATTAAATGCTATAGAATGATATATTTTAAAATATATGTTTATTCTCCATTTGTCTTCTGATACTGCTCAATTATTTTTGTTAATGTGAACTATAAGTGCTTTACTATGTTTTTATTCTTTTGGTCAGTGTTGTCACCTTATCCCCTTTCCTAGGAGCATGGACATCAACAGTTGTCGTAACCACCATGGTTGTTGTGCTGGCTATCATACTCCTCTCTGTCTTCATATTGATTAAGTAAGCAGTTTGCTTTACAGTTTAGCCAGATACTCTAAGCCATTTTCCAAAGTTTGAACATATAACCACACGCTGAATGTCACCAAAATCTCTCATTGTGTGCACACACAACAACTTTGAATACAGTAGAGGTGAAGGCTGGTTTAAAACCTGTGACGCTGGTTCATTTAGTTTACTTTTTATGAAATACCTGAAAATTAAATAAAGTCAGCAGTCAGCTTATCAGAGTTAAATGATCCATTCTTTTATTTATTTTTGACTCTTCTAAACAGAAAGAAAAGGGCCTCCAAGCAACAGTGTGAAGAGAGACCAGATGACAACAGGGAACAGGTATGACAAAGAAAAAGAGACTACTGTACTTCTAAATGTGGGTTCACACATCCAGATGAAAGGCTTATAAACCTGAATGATAATGAATAATGAAACAAATCACAACACTGAAACTATCTGGAGGTTACAGCTTCAGTGATCAGAGATACAAAAACAGTGAGAGCAGCCGGGCTCAATTCATGAGACAAGGGCAAGAAGCTACATCACACGTCTATCATTTAAATTTAACGTATCAAATCTGCAACCCTCTAAATTAAAAAGATTTCATCTATGCAGTGTCTACCAACTCAGGGCCAGCAAGAAGAGCAGGATGACCTTCATTATTCCAGTGTTAAGTTCACCAAGAATCAAGCAGAATCTCTCTACTCCAACATCAGACCAGCTCAACGCCACAGACACAACGAGGAAGAACTTATGAAGGTGTTGAATATTCTGCTATCACATTTAACAAAGGCCCTTCTGCCCCCAACTGAGCAGCTCATCTCCTACTGTATATACATATTTAGTTTATTTAAGCAAATGTCACATGACTGTTAGTACAGAACAGTCTGTGACAACACCATCAAGACCACCAGACACTTTCAAGAAATGTTTTTATATAGAGATGTAAATAAAACATGAGAGTTCAGCTTGTTATTTCAGTCAGCACAGGTTTGTTGTAAAAAAATTACTGGATGTTTTTTTTGTACAGTAACCCCAAACCTTTTCCATCTGGTTTTATAAATTCAGACACCTTTCTACAACCAGAGAGTCTCCCTCTGCTGGTCAGTGGAAAAAATGTCCCTTAGGGCCACTTAACATTGGCTTCAGTTTAATTATCTGAGCTGAGCTCCTCTCATTTTTTTAAGGATGACTTATTTTTTATGATTTGCTTACCTCCCTTTATGGAGGCAATATTAATGAACTCTGTATCAATGATGACCTTTTCTTCAATATGTGAAATGTATCACTTCCTTTTATTAACAATATGTTTCATGTATAGCTTTAAGTAGGCATTGTGACAGTTTTACTATTTGGTTTTGTACTTCAAACATAAAAAAAAAAAAAAAGCTATAACAACCTTGAACAGGCTGTTTGGTTTCCTTTTAGTATTAATACATTCTTACAGTGGAACTAGTTCATGTTGCATCATCACAGTTGGGGAAAAACTTTATGGGTATGTGGCGATAACTAGCTCTACTTGTAGTATTTTTTCACAGAGCAACACATTTAGTATGTCATTATTCACTTATTGCAAAGACTGACTACAGCCTGCAGCCGTTGACAGACAGTTCATATGCGGTATCATCGAGGGTCTTGCATTTGGTCTGCAGGCTGGGATCGCTGGAGCACTCTGCAGATGAAGGCCAGCGCTCAACCCAGGTGTCTTTTCCTAACATATAGATGTACCTGAAAGACAGGAAGCAAAAGGGGAGGAGAGACAGTTAAGTTTGACTTTATATAGACCAGGCTGTGTTTTTGCACCTTGCAAATTGTTTTTTCACTGCAATTATTTCCAAAAAATATCTGATGTATTTAATATTTCAAGGCCCCTTTTAAAGTTGACATTGATAATTAGCCAGCATCTTTAAGGTTTATAACACATTATACTCTATTATTACAAGTACATTTCTTCTCCCCAATTTTTCTACAACTTTTGTTATAAACATCTTCATTTTTTTATTGCTCTCCTTACTTGTTGGTTTCACTATCAATGTTCCATTGGTCATCTTTGGGGCCGATGATGAGATACTGGGAGCCCGGCGTCAGGTTGAGATCATCTCTGCAGCCTCCATGAGACATGAAAACCCGCTTTTGTCCCACTTCAACTCCAGCCTCCTCACCTTGACGGTGCGAGGAAGAGATTCAGTTGATATATTGGTGTAAGCTTTATATATTCACAGGAGCACCTATAACTTATTGTGATGTCATTAAGTATAGAAGTTCTTCATTCCACAGATATTTTATTTCAACGCACTTCTAGGTTTGTTCTATTAGCTGAACATCTTTTTTTTAATACCTAGGCACACAGCCATTGTTCCAACTCACCCAGTTTGATAACTTGCGTGATCTCCATCTCGTATTTGTCGTAGTAACTCTGGCTGAGACTCAGCACCTTCACCTGGAAAACTAAAAAATCAGGAAACATTTAATTTGGTGTTTATATTTAAGTGGTTATAACAACACAAAGTCTTGGGGGGGCGGGGGACTGTGGGGACTGTGAGTGTGTTACAGCGTATACCGTGGTGTAAACTTTTGCAGGCAAAAGTCTCTCTCTCTTGGTTGGGGAAGTTTTCAGTATCACTTTTGGAGACACAGCAGTCACCTGGAGATATGAAACAAATACAAAGTAGATTTTAAATTACAGACAACCTGAACACCAATTCCACAAATGTTGCAGGCACATTTGTGTTTTACCCTGCGTGCAGCGGCAGACATTGTCCCTGCAGATCTGCGTGAGCTCCTCTCTGTCCTCCTTGGGATTGTAGGTACGACTGCAGCGGTGATCTTTGACACAGACAAAGACGAAGGGTTTAACACCTGGCTGGCACCATCAAACTGAAAGTACACCTATTATATTTGAATACTGATGTGACAATACTTACAGAAGACATACTCTACATTATCAAAGGGTGCATTAAAGTCCACTTAAAAAATGTCTGTGTGAGACAGTTTACAGCTGGTACATTCATGTGTCCTGGGTAATCAGAGTCTAAAGTGGACAGCTCAGAAAACAGCTGTTCACACCTAGCATTAATTTGACTCTACCATTGTGATCAGACATCACTATCCCTCTCTTCATGCAGAGATAATTTAGTCTATTTATTCTTGTTAGCTTAAAACAACAACTGGAAATAACTTGCTGTAGATAACTTGTGTCTGGGCATCAGAAAGAGAGACAGAGAAATATAAAGACAGAGGGCCTGATTCACTAAAATTGATTGTTATTGTTAATAGCTAAAAAAAATTGCGTATCATTTTCTCCAATTTGCCCTTTCTCGAGGCTTAATTCACAAAGAATATACTACAAATGATATTCAAGCGCAAACACGCCCCATTAGTTGCCCTGTTCCGCGCAGTTTGATCTTGTGTTGCGTTTAAAGGCACATGTTTGTCCACATAAAGATGACAAGCAAGGACGGGAGGGGAAACTTTTTGAAGATTATAGAGAGGCTGGAAGAAAAAAAAAAAGACATTACCTTCACCATTTAAAACAGAGCTTCCTCCCTGAATGGATTAAGGCAACTGGATGAACAAAACGACACTTGCATCCTTGTCACGCATAACAGATCAGAACTTCTGCACACATGGGGATGAAATGTGAAGCTGGTGACAGCCCCCCGACTGATTTATCCCCTGGTTGTATCAATAGCTATGTCCAAGTAATATTTGCAGACTTCATTCACATATTATTTATACTTAAATCGTACAGAGAAAGATTGTTTTGAGGTCCAGCACTGGTTTGCCTCTACCGCTGATGAAAAACACATGCCAGACCTTGATCTCAAAACCTCATCAATGTGTCTTCGTTACATTTACACATTTGAGTCTGTTCACTGGTGGTTGTAATCACGATGCATGTTTGTACCAAGTGTAAACAGGACCAGAGCGGTTTTTTTTTAAACTTGAGTTTGAGATTCTTTGGTCTGGATCAATTTATTGTTCAATCAAACCTTAACCAGTCTAGAGGGAGTAAGGTGGAGCTGTTGTATTTTCAGTGACATTTTTATTTGTAGTTTAAATGTCGGAAAATGTATAGGGTCAGTTTAAGCTATTCCTTTTATCAAACATTTTTCTCAGAGCTGTACTGGTATGTTTAGTTTAGGTTGTGATGTCCTGGATGCGTTTTCCTACCATGGTTGTAGTATTCATAGACAGTAACTGAGGAGGGCTGCAGGAGGCCAACTTTGAAGCTCTGTTGAAGCCTGAAGATCAGGATCTCTGGCTCTTTGTGGGAAACCTGAGAGGAGGAAAGAAAGTATGTAACATAGAGGAAAACAGAAACAATTCACTGAATTCACTGAGCTCAAAAACTAACTCAAAGAGACACGTTTAGGTGGAAGAACAAGTTTAAACTTTTGCAGACCACTTACATAAAGCAGTCAGTCACACTCCCTCTGGTTTCATACATGTTAATGTGACTGGTCTCTACTTTTTTTTAAATTACCTTGAACAGGTGTAAAATCAGAGAGCCTCGGTCGCTCAGGTTATCAACTATCTGGAAGTTGCTGACGTAACGGTCCACCGAGTTGGACAACTAGACAGACACAAACACACAAACAGAATCAGTGACCAGTCCCAGCCAAGCAACCTCTCTTCAGAATAATGATGTTGTTATACGTATGCTGAATGCATCCCAATGGGTTGATTATGGAGTTCCTAAAGTCACATCAAGCTTCTGAATAAAAATCAAAACCTTTCTTTGTCAATAAATCATTATTTTACTCTAACACTTTAACATTTTCAAATTCTTTCTAACAATAAGATTCAAAATGTTTTATAATTGGACATGCTGATTGTAGTATAATGTTGTAACTTGTAACACATTTCTGAATAAGCTTGCACAAATAAATGTTAGCTGATGAGAATCCCAAAGTAAGAAATGTTACCGAATGAGATCAGAGGATTCAATGTGCAGATCAATGCATTCTCACTATCTGATCTATGCTCTTTGATTATTTTTACAGAATGTGTTTGAACAGTTAATCACAATTTAATAAAAAGGGTAGAGGAACAATGAAGTGAATACACAGACATAATCTTCTTTTTTTGTAGTATAGTGTAGTGTAGTGTTAACTTGTGTCTCCCAGGAAAATTTGCAAATAAGATTGTTTATTTATTTTTTAAATTTGTGTTTAGTTTATTAATCTCTTCTACTTTTTTTCATGTTTGAAATACATATAATACATCAATCATTAGTGTTAAATATCTTATCAACAAACTACTTTAAAAATAATCATACATTATTTTCAAGTCAAGTTTATTCCAGAGATTTTCTATAAATATCGAATAAGTGGCATGTATTCTACATTTTCTTTGTCTCCATATGCTTTCAGAAAGCTTCTTAGCACTAATAGTAGAGGCTGATTACCATCTCTAGGTCTGAGTTCTCTGGAGTGAAACCAGTGGGCAGACTAATATCTAGAACCACCATCCTGACGTCTCTGGGTCCTAAGGCCCTGTGAGGTGGAAAGAGATCAGCTCAAACAAGAAATACTCTGACATATAATACGTCCTTATAAAGTTATCATAAGTACGTTAGTCTATCATTTTCAATAAAAAGATTTTTAACTTGGAGATGTCTTCTTCAACTTACCTCACTTTGATGGTGATCTGGTAAGATTTTTCTACATCTGCGGGAGGCTTTTCTGTTAAGGGGCAGACACACATGCTTATCCTGCAGGTTTGAATTCATCTGATTCTTTATAATAAAATAAGTTAGCTTGAGGATGTTAGTTAATTTATAATTCATGAATAGGTTAACATAGACATTTACTGATAGCCGGCTGTTTGCCAATGTGACAAAGATCGGTCAGTACCAATGTTCAACTGATATATTGTTCCATCCCCAATTATATCACTTCATGGCACTACGACGAAATCCCCTACACTAAAAGGACAGAGAACATCAACACTAAAGAGACAGACATCATACATGAGTAAGACACTGTGAGAAAATGATTTACCGCCTGATTCTTCAATAGTGACGTTGAGCTCAAAGTGCTGACAGGGAAGTTTCTCATCCACCTCATGCAGCTGGTTGTAATAAGTCACAACCTTCAGAAAGACCCACAAGAGATCATTCAGAGCAAAAACCAGACATTAAGCCAAAAAATAATCAATGCATTAAAAAAAAAGAAAAAAAAAAAAAAACTGCTGTATTTTCGAGTTACAAATAAAATGTAAACAGAATTTTTGCTGAACAAAAAAATCTTATCTTACCTCCAGTATTCCCTGTCCGTTTCCCCGAGCCTCCACTTCCAAATCAAGTTCAGCGGGCAACTACAGAAGCAAAGCACGGGAAAACAATCACATCAAATATAACTGAAGAAATCGATTGAAACACTTGCTGATGTCATTGATGAACCAAGTTGTGTTCTTAGACCTGACATGTCCTCAGAAAAAAGGACAACTTAAAAAAGCCCCTTTGATTTTAAATTCAGTTTAAATTTCTCTCCTTTACCCTGGAGGATCGAGCAGCATAGGAGGTCACGGGGTCAAAGTGGTAGCGGATTTCCTTGCGCCCTGTTATCCTGACGTCCACATCCAAACTGAGGTCTCCAGGTGGAGGTTTGTGGATCAGGTACTCTGACAGTGCTTGCAGCACAACCATGGTGGACTGGGAGAGGACAAAAGAAAAACAAAGACTTTACAGAACAGCTTGTACATTTGAATAGGGTCTACTTGAAAAATTCTTAAGAGTACAGTTTCTGTGTAGTAGTTATCCAAGTGTTATCGGTGTTAATGTTTGTATTATTCATAATGGAACTACATAAAAGTCGTCAACTGAGTAGGAAGCACAAAAAAAGACGCTTTTGGAGTGTGCAGCTCCCGGCTTAGCTTCCAGTCTCCCCCTGTTGTTACCTGGGTTGAGCCGAAGCCTCCACCTCTCCTCCGCTGGCTGTTCAGCCATTTAAACGGTGCTGCTGCTTCCTCCATACGTCCCAACTTGATCAGAGCGAGCAGGGCGTAGCCGGTCGCCTCCAGTGAGAACAAGGTGTTCTGTGTGTCGGGCCAGTGACCATCTAGAAAAATATACCGTCATTCAGGCTTTTCTCATTGGAGTAACTGTGTTCAACAAACAAATAAACCCAGGCTGATAATTAGTATGTTGGATACCTTCAGATGCTCTGAGCAGAACTTGGGTCGGGTTGAAGGGCTGTGACTTCCCCAGCAGAGCCAATGCATAGGAAGTGATGGCCACAGTGTACGGCCGCCTTCCCATCTTTAACAGCCCTTTATTCAGGTAATCAGCTGTCTTACGGATAATAGCCTGCAGCACAATGATATGGTGCACGATAGTTTTAAGTAGGAAAATTAAGCAAAGATGATATCTAGCAGCTTGAAGCAACAAATCTTGAGGATTAATGTTTTGACTGAATTACCTCTGTGTTAAAATTTGGATCATTGCAACGGATCCCGGCCTGCTTAGCCTCAGCAAGCGCTATGAGGACAAAGGCTGTCAGGGTTATCTGATGTTCATCACCACGGACACCTACACCACCCTGTAGAAACAGGCAGAAAGACGTTTTTGTTCATTCTTTAAAAATGTGAAAAAAAAAGCCACCTTTAATTAAAGTTTTGTTTTGAGGAAATGTGTCTATTTTTGTGGTGAAAGTTTCTTACAACCAAGACAACGTCATTTTATCTTTTATTCATGGTATCAGAATACCTGAAGTGGAATGAAGTGTATATTTAGAGTCACATTAACGACTGAGTTGGAAATGACGTTTGTTTGATTAGGAAGATGTGCAGTTACATACAGACATTAAATAGGAACAAGAAAGAAGGGAAAAAGAGAGGTAAGCTTATTTAACAACATGTTGACATGATGTGTTTTTAAGAGTATGTGTGTCTCACAGTCATGGTGGTGCTGTAAACTGGGTTGTCTTCTCTGAAGCTGCCTGTCAAACGTTGGTGTTTGTTCTTCAACAGGTAGAGCAGAGGTTCACACACTTGCTGCTCGTTGATGCCAATGATGGAGTGAGCCATGGAGAAAACTTTAACAACGTATGCCGTGATCCTGTCATACAGGGGAATTATGATTAGCCTACATTTGGCCACGTCTGAACACATGTTATATATGTATATGTACTGACTTCTTAATGGATTTTCTAAACCACTTTATTTAATGAAAGTCACAAGTTGTGTTTGCATGCATTCAAACCTCTAAAATACAACACTAGATCCAGTAGCATCAGCTATCATTATACCTCATGCATGGTAGTTTCACAGAGGATACAATTTCACCACTAAAAAGGAAATTATTTTTGCCTACAATGCCAGAGAATTAGTTTATGAGTTTTTGATAGTTGGTATTTGAAAGTACAATTCTGACAATACCATGTGCTTGCGCCTTCCCTCCTGTACGGGGGGTAAGAGCCATCACTCTTTCTGTAGGCCAGTTGGTTCTCATAGCCTGAAAACATAAAACACAATTGAAAAAGTTAAATATGGGATGTAAAGGAAAAACACATCTTTACTCAATCAAAGAAAAGCTTGTTCCACAATCCTCCATCCAGCCTTCATCCATCTGGTGACTCGCCATCTGACTGTCCAAGCAGCAGTCCTTACATCAACCATCATGAATATCATCCATCCAACTTTCCATGCATGGTAAATGGTCTTGAGCTTGTATGGCACTTTTCTAGTCTTTTCAAAGCGATTTTTACACTGCAGGTCATCTACCCACTCATATCCATTCACACACTGATGGCAGAGGCTTTGCAATGTGACCATCAGGAGTAACTACTCCCATTCATACACATTCATACGCAAAGCAGAGGGAGCAACTTGGGGTTAAGTCCCAAAGACATTTAGGACACGTGGCTGCTGTGGATGTGACATCCTGCTGGGGCTCAAACCCCCTACCTGTCCGTTGAGAGACGACCAAATCTATCAACTGACCCACAGCAGCAGGCAAAAGTCATTTAGTCATCTTTATACACAAATCCAAAATAATGTTATGTTATACATTAATTGATCCGTCTATCCAATGTTTGTTTTCAAATAAGACAGTATTTCAAGTCATCCATCTCCCACACATCCACCAAACACTCCATCAATCCATGTATTTCACTTGTCCTCCTAACTACCATTGTCATCATTAAAAAACTGAAATCAGTTATTCTATCAATAAATCCTCATGGATAAATCAATTCACGTGTACCAATCAGAAAAACTGAATAAATCCAAGTATTGACATACAGCAGGTAAACTAGATTTGTTATGTTTTTTTGCTGCTATTTTGAAATGGCTGTATCATATCTTTTTTTGCATTTTGATATTCTTTGTCCACCACAAATTCATCAATGTGTTCTTTCCATCTCTCTCACCTCTCCTAATGTATCGGATAGCCTCAGCCTTACGCTGCACCCCGACACTTTCCCAGTCGTTCGTTCTCTCCAGGTAGAGAGTGGCGATGAGCGGCAGAGTGATGCTCGCCAAGTTCTGCTCCACACAGCCGCCGGGCATCCGGATCAGGGAGGCCAGAGAGTCCTCACTGATGGAGTTATCGATGCTGTCTGCCAAAATATTCCCTGGAGAGAAAAGGAAAGGAGGACTTCTGAAATCTGTTCTCAGTGGTTCATTTTTAATGATTTTTTTTTCTATCACCCTGTGACTGACTGACCTCTGACATTGATGAAAGTCTCAGGCACAGAATTTGGGACAACTGACTTCAGTTTCATCTTTTCAACATGAAGTGTCTGTGTTCCTGTTGTATACAGAAACAAAGCAATAGTTATGCTTCATAATTATCCAGCCCAAACCTGAGAAGAATTGATCATTACAAAAAAACATGCAGTACAGGTATATCAATACCTGCCCCAATGACAACTATGATTAAACCTTGAGGGACCAGAGTTATAAAAAATTACTAAAATGCTTAGATCTGTCCCCTATCTGTTTGGCTTAGAACCTGCTTTTGGGTAACACTGTCATATACTATGGAGAACCTCTAAAATGGAATAGTATCAGTATGTATATTCATTATCTTAGACAAAATATATATTTTATATTGTTGACTAGAAGTTTACAGCCCAAAAGTGTTTGAGTCCTTTGTTGAATAAACTAACCTCTGATTTGAGCATAGATAAAACATATGAAATCCAATAAATACTTTAGTATTAACAAGTAGTTAAGAAGAGATAATAGGAAATCATATATCTGTGATTATCTTACCTCCCTCAGCAGATGGGTTCAGCACAGCACTCCACACTTCAGTCTTCTGCATTCCGTCCATCTGTAAAGGTTAACAAGAGTTGCTTGCCCAAATCTTTTACAGAAGTATGTTAGAAATAAAATCACTGCCACATTCAAGGAGTCCAGATTATCAACTTCATTGTTTCAGCAGCAGCATTTTACGGGCTCCTGTTTAAATAAAACCCTTCATTATAACTCCAATAAACCTAATCATCAAGAGTCACTCACCACCACACGTAGATGCTTCTGGATACGATCTCCTCCCGTCATGTCTCTGCCGACCACCATCACTTCCAGAGGTAGCTTCCCCACCACCAGTGGGACGATGGTGTAAGGCACCGCCACAGAAGAGCCCGGCGCCAGTGTCAGCTCTTGTGTGTGTCTGTCCTTGAAGGCAATGCTGCACATGCCTTCTGTCTTCATCAGCACTACCCTTACCTGAATGGATACAGTCACAGCATAATAAAGATTGATTTCATTCAGCTTTTTTCTTAATGCAGCTGTAAGAAACTTTTGTGTTGGTTAGTTTTGGTGACACTTGTGGACAAAGTGGTTCCTCTTATGTCTTTTTTGATCTTGTCCTGTACATATGTAGATGTAAATTTTACAAATTTTAAGGAAAATGCCATCTGTATAGCCTAGATTCCCCATTTGATTAATGAGAAAGCTATGTTTGTCTTACATGCATCTCTTCATAGCCGTAGTTATGGACCACAGCTTTTATCTCGAGCTGCTCGTTCCTTGCCACTGAATACGGCAGCCTCAGGTCCACAAAGAAGTCCTTCCGTGCTCTGACATTGTACGGCTCAGCAACACAGAAACCTACGGACATTCAAGACATTTACGATGGGTTTGCTGTAAATGTGTACATGTTGTTTAGCATTAGTTGTACTATTGTCTTTAAAAGTTTGGAGATTAAAATGTCCGAATTTGGTGAATTTAACAATGTGAGGACAAGACGTAGGTCTGCATTATCAAGCCACTGAAACATTTTCATTGGGGTTCATGGACTGACTTATTAAAAACCAAAAGCTTTTCCCATTTTAAGAGCAAGGGTTTGAAATGATGGAGGAAAAGGCACTCCAAACAAAGCCTTTTTGAAATAATTGCAAATGAAAATTGATTGATATTGCACCAGCAATTATGGGTGGATTTTTCAACCAATCAGACAATCAAAAAAAAGAATGAGAAAAATATTTTGCTCTAGCTGCAAGTGCTGATTTGACAATTAAAAAACAGAAGAAACCATGAGCTCAAGTCTTGCTGAGAAGTTTAGAAAGTCTATATCATTGCTTCTGAAGACCTTGACTTCCACCTCACTCTCCTCCTCCTACCTGTATGAGGTGATGAGCTTACTGCCAGGACTCCCCACTCTGTGATACTGTCAGGTAAGGGGTGGTTCACAGTCTTTGAGGCCAACCTGTCGAAAAGATGTATGTGTTATAACTAGCACCGAGGTCAAGAACTCTAAACCAGATCTTCTCTTTTTTATTATATTTAATAATAAAAAAAACTGCAACACTTAAATAAGGCCACACTATTAACCATTGACTATGCTTATTAGCATGCTAATTAGTAGCATACCGGCTGCTTGTCATGATTAGGCACTTATTAGTACCTTATTTTACAAAACCATAGTCTATTGCTACAATATAAGGCCATTAAGAAAGCGTTTTCAATCAATACCCTCCTGATTAACACTTATTAGGAAGTTAGGAAGTTGTTAAACATGAATTATCATGTTAATACTCTTTTGCTTCTTCTACCTTATGGGCCAAACTAAGCAAAGCATGTTAAGAGAATATTTAATGTTCAACAAACACCTTACTTACCAACAATAAGCAGTTATCATGAGGGTATTGAGAGCAAACGCTCAGTTAATGTTTACGTTAGTCTGTTTGTTAGAGACTATTGCCATGTGAAACAAGGTACAATACGTGCGACTAATTATAAGCCAGTATGCTACTAATTAGCATGCTAATAAGCAACTGGTTAATGGTGAAAAGTGAGACTTTCATTTAAGGTGTTACAAAAAGCAAACAGGTATGGGTGTAAGAATTAAATATCCACTGGAAGAAAGTAAAAACTACAACCTCAGATTAAAGATGATTTGGGATTGTTTTTGCGATTAAATTCCAGACTTGTTAATGTCATAAATAAAAACTGTATCTCAGCAGTTTTGGTTTCCAATTCCATTTCACAATCAACAAGGTCATTGTAAACACGCACACGTGTATTCATCAGAACAAGACAAGGGTCAGAGTGAAATTAAAATGACTGTGAAACAATAAGTGTTTTTGGCTGTCCTCACTGATCAAAGCAAACACTAATCAACAGAGGGAGCTACTTGTTTTGTGGTGAAACAAAGTGATTGACTTTATTATGATGTTTCTAGTTATTCACATCGTAGAACACCAATGATTACTTGCTGGATTTGGACTTTTTCACTCACCCGTCTCTGTCTGCCTGGCTGGGCAGGTCAACTTCCATCCACCACGACTCGTAGAACTTGAACCGCAGATAGACTTGAGTCTCATCCAGGTACTCCCAATCTTCCTCTTCATCTTCCTCATACTCCTCCACGTCCTCCACCATTTCCCCTGTTGTTTCCATAACCACATCTTCTTGTGCCATTTTATTTACATTGGAATATTTCATGTGCACTTCAGGTGATTCAGGCAGTCCAGGTAATCTCTGTGGTGGTCCCCAAGCTATGTGAAAACATGTATGAATAGAAGGTCTTATTACATGTCTTCATTTTAAATCACTCTTCAGTGTTCCAAGCAGAACATTTCTTACACAACAAAAGGCCTTATTTGGGGACTTTAAAAAAAATCAAAATTATGTAATTTTATTCAGGGTTTCTCAGAAAATGTTGTATGTCTATCTCCAATGCCCAGCATAGGGAATACATAGGTTGCATTACTTAAAAAATCTTTGGAGAGCCTATTTTGTCATTGCACATAATTTCATATCAAGGTCAACTAGCTTAAGTTTTTGATTTGTTTTGCATGCTCACTTGCATACAATAATAGATGGTATTTTAAAGAGTGAGTCATTGTCGCTTTATCTTGATTGGAATAACCAATAGACCTTTGAATGATATCCAGGAAACCCATATTAACTACTGTATGTCAAGAGTTTCTCGTTTGACTAATGTTCACTGATTACAATCCATCTATCAAATAGAGACACAAGAATAAAATTAGATTTGAGAGACAAAATCTACAGCTGGATTGCTACAGTACCACTGTAGCCACTGTCTCAAAAACACCTAATAAAATGCACAAAAAATGTGTCCTGAAGTCAGATTTTATTTATACTCTAGCTTTTTATCGAGAAGCAATCATCAGATCATGATATCCTTCCCTTCATGGCATTACCTTGCTGTGGTGGGGAGGCTTGTGTGCTTCCATGACTCTGGAGGCTTTACCGGCTGGGGGTTAAAAAGAAACCCCGAAAAGGTTTCAGGGTAGAGGACTAGGTGAAAAGCAGTACCTGGCCTTCCAGCTTGGGGGTTGGACATGGGGCTAACAATTCCATGCCATAAAAACCCACCCTGTTGCATAAGCTATGACTAATGCTACAAATGCTGAAACAGTGTGCCCTATCGTCGACTTGAGCCAGCCCACTGTTAATATGACCACGGCCTGATCAAAGCCCCTTTATACTGTTGATTCTGACAAAGAAACCTACAACACTTGTGATATTTCCAGCAGCCTAAACTATATTTAGGACATCTAGCAGTTGGCCTTTTAACCCATTTGACAATGTGCAATATGTTGTTTGTTGTGGTCAATGGTACATGCCTCTCTGTTCACATGTCTGTTGCTTGACTGTTGCTTGTTCTGTGTTTTTTTATCTTTTCATTCATACTACTGTGGAGGCAGCAGAGTGTATGCAGCATTCAGGTCCGAGAAAGAATGTCCTAAAAAAACATCTATGCCAGTAGTATTGTGTTATATAATTGCATATCTTAACATATTGCATTGTGCTGTATCATGTTGTATTGTTTCTTTTCATATATTATAGTATGATATTGTATGATAGATCATCATTTTGCACAGCAATGTATCCTATCCTTAACAAACACTATAAACTGAGTAACATCATAACACTTCATTTCAAAGTAAAATGTGAAGTTTTAACACTTCCTGTTGCTCTGTAAGGATAGAGGTGCAGTACTTACCAAATGTTTTTGGCGAGAGGTGCATTCTTTGTACAGACCCATCTCTTCTAGCAAAAGGATGTATGAAAGAAAGTCTTGGAACTGATGTGGTAGGTGGAGCTGTGGTCATGGGTGGTGGGGTGGTTGGAATTTGGGTGTCAAACTCTTGGTTTCTGTATGTGGCACAGCAGTATCGAAAGGCACGGATGCACTCCCAGCCCTCTGTGATGTAAAGGGAGCGCCTCGTGCAGGAGTACGGCATGGGGATCTCCCTGAGGCCGTCCCTACAGCAGCGACGCTGCAGTTTCTCCTTGTAATAATCCTCTGGAGGCAGAAGGAGTGCAAGAGAGGGAACAAAGAGAGAATACTGTACAATACTAGTAATAATTATCAACCCCCACGATACGATGGCAATGTGTAAAGTTACATTCTACAATGGGAATGTCAAATCAGAAATGCTGCTGTCTAACCAGCTTGTTTTCTTGTTGAGTAGCATCTATTAGGTAGGTTATATTGAATTCATAATTTCTGAACAAACCATTAATGATAAGAGGACACTCACCCAGCTGGGCTTTACGTTTCAGCAGTTCAGCAGAGCGCCTCCTTCTGGTTCTTCCAGGGCACTGCAGGGCTAAGGAGAGCATCAAAACAAAGAGGGGTTTAAAATCTTCCTCCCACCATCCGTTACTAATATGTTTTTGGTGTCTCCAGCTTCCTACAAGCTGTTGCATGCCTATGTTAAACTGGTTGCCACATTTACATTGGGCTTTGCACTCTTTCTTACATGGATGATTTTACTGTGTGAGTCAGTTGTGCATCTTTTCAGTTTGAAGTTGATTTGAATTGGAGTTTTAATGCAACTATTTTTTTCTGCTTGTAAAATAGATGAAAATGATATAAACTGGTCAAAATAACATGAAGCTCTTATCTACTAGATAAATTCAGTCTGTGTTTTGCACGGACCTTTGAGTAAGTACGTTTATAGAACCTTTCAAGAGCAGATGTCACACACTGCTTCACAATAAAATTAATTAAAAAATGGGTTAAATACATTGAGGGGAGGAGCTACCTTGTCTTGTTTCGGTTTTGAATCCTGCGCTGGAGGAGAAGAGCAGCCCTGCGTCGGAGAACACTGCCTTGGCATCCCTGCCTCCCCCGTGGGTGCAGCCGATGTCTCTGTGTTCCACCACATCCCAGAGCTGAGGAAAAGGAGAATGCAGTGAAAAAAAACAGTGGCTATCATCTCTCAGCTTCAAAATGTACCCAGGCATATTTATTTCACAATACATGTTTGAAAAGAAAAAAAATCATCTGAAAGGTCATTGTCTTCTCTGCATTGCTCATAAAATTTGTCACATTCTTCAAACTCTGAATTTGAACTTCCTGCTTGGTTTCTGCAGGTTTGAAAAGAAAAAAAAACACTTAAATGTAATTCTCAAAAGTTATACATATTTTTCTTGTAGATGCAATCAGATGTAATCTAAGCCAATCCATTATCTTGTTGTCAGGAATCTTACAAATAACAGGAGGGGCTGTTTATGCAGCACCTGAAGTGAATATTGTCAAAGTTGCTCCCTGCTGTAGGAAGCTCACTGTGAAATAATTAGCCAATGTTCAAGTAGTACAAGCTGGAATTATTTAAAAAAATAATAATCTCTTGTCATGAGTTGATCCAATTTGATAGAAACTTGCTTTTTAATCAATGTATTACGGCTGTATAAAACGCTCTTTAAATTTCTACCATTAGCTTTCTGGTCCCTGCACAAGCCCAGTTTGTGTTCTAATGTGACATCTTTAACAAATGACACATACTGTAGCATGCATTGTCAATAAATGTTAAACATTTGTTCAGACTAATCATTTTGATCTATAGGACACTTTCAACTGTTTAGCTTTATGCTACCTTATATATTATAATAAAATGTAAGTAACAGAAGTCATTGGAACTCAAACACACACACACACACACACACAAGCAAACACACCTTCCTCTGTGTCAGTCTGTCCTTGTTGAGCAGAAACACAGCGTTGTCCACGGCCACCATGCTAACTTTTGCCCCTGGATCTCCTCTGACTTGAAAACTTAATGTCTTTCCAGGTCTGTAGTCTCGATGTATGCCGTCCGCTGGCCCCACTCTCAGCTGTAACAGAGAATTAATCAAGAGTATTATGGAAAACTAGGGTGATAGTAAAAAAAAGACCTGAATAACAGTATGAGTAGCAATTTTACTTTTTTTTTTACTAATCTTCACACAATACTAAAAAAAATGGTACTATGTAAAAAGTCGGCGAAACAGATTTATTCAGGATATCAAAAATATTTCTAACTTAAGACTTTTTCTCTCTCTCCCTGCTGACATTATGTTTGTTTGTTAGTTTGTTAATTTGTGTGTTTGAATCCCCCTTTAGCTTCAGCAGAGCAAGAAGCTATTCTTCCTGGTGTCTGCACTTTATAATGTGACAAAACAATTTACACATACTCATATTTTATCACAATACACACACATTACACAACATATAGCACATCAACAATAACTAACAATACAAAAAATAATGATAATTAAAACAGCAAGCCGAAGGGTGGCCCTTCATCACTGCTTGCAACCCCCAAGCTGGAAGGCCAGGTACTGCTTTTCGCCTAGTCCTCTACCCTGAAACCTTTCCGGGGTTTCTTTACCTTCGTGATGTGTAACTTAGAAAAGCTATAATATAATCAAAATTCTTTACATTCAGGTTTTAAAAAAGCGGTCAGACTATAAGATCCCAACAATAAAGCGTGTTGCAGCTCTTAAAAGAAGCATCTCTCTATCATCATAATCATTAAGGTAGCACATGAGTGGCATATGCCGCAACACATTAGTGGCACAAGTTGCACATGACGTGGCATATGTCGGTCTAGTCCACTCATGGCCGGCACATGCTGCGGGACATGACTGGCATATGAGTTGCATATGCATCTCTGGTCCACTCGTGCTCTGTCAGGCCAGCACATCCCGAGGCACATGAGTGGCATATGCCGCAGTATATGAGTGGCATATGCCGTCGCAAATAGTTGTGTGTTCAAATAGGGATGCAATCTGAAAAATCTTTACACAAAAAATTTATAATAATGAGTATGGTCATTATGTAATTTTTTTCTTGTCTCATTCAGCTACATATGGCTCACCAATTGTCGTGCATGTAGGTTAACCGCAGTACCCTGAGTGACGTTTGGGGGCACTGTGGAGCCATTTGGCGACACCCATGCACCGAAACACTTTCATACGTAAATTTCATACAAGGTTGAATTTTGGGTGAAGTTTGGTAAGCTTTCGTGCACGCTAAAGCCCCAAATATAGGTTCCTCGCTCCGAGGTTGGGGCTCTGACATTATTTATTGACATAAATAAAAGCTCAAAGAACAGACAATACAAAGACTACAGCGTCTAAGAGATCATAACAGCCCATAGTTCCTTCAGACTACAAAGACTAAAGACTGAAGTTTCTCTGTAGGTCATTTTTCTTTAAGTGATTTTTTAAAACTGTATTCAGAAACTCATGAGCATATGTATGCACATACCAGGGCTGCTTGTGCCAAATATCATGAACCCTTATTTGGTCTTAACATTTGTATCGCCTACTCACCTTGCTCTGTGGTACAAAATGACCCGCCTTCACTTAACTCCTAAAATAAAGCAGCCTGATTGAATTTCAAATCCAAAATCTATTTTGCATGAAGAAACAACCTGACTTTGACTTTTCAGATTGACCAGTTTGAAAAAAAAAAAGGAAGACATCATAAAAGATCATAGTTAATGAGGCCCAAATCTTCAAGTGTGTAACCACTGAGACTGAGCTGATATTCACTCACCCCTCCAACGCAGGAATCTACCACATCCACCCAGATGGAGTCAGGCACCACCTCCTCTTGCCCTGTCCAGATCCAGTAGAATGCCACAACACGAAACGAAGGCAACATCTCCGGTGTGACCATCAGTCCAAGACTGGTGATCACCTGACCGGTCACATCCACACGCTTGGCTACGATGATTTTACCTTTATTCACCACCTGAGGAAAATGAGGAACAAAGTCACATGCTTGATGATTGTTTTATTTAAACTTTGCTCTGAACTTCCCAAAGGTCTCTGCTACAGCTATTTCAGGATGCAATGTTAAAAACACTTACATGAAGAAAGACATCTAAGCACATAACTCCACTTTTTAAACCTTGCACTAGCACTGTTCCTTTTCATTTGTTAGTCCCTTTACTTGTGTGTACTTGTACCTGTTTTTATTACTGATCTTCTTTCACGTCATGTTCCTGCCAGATCACAAAGGTCCTCCAATGCTCTCTTTTTAAACGTGCATCATGTGTTCCACTCAAGCATGGGCGGGAACCCTTTTTGTTTTTATGCCCCAAAATGTTGGATGCTGTTATTTAGGAAAGTTGGTATTTAAATAAAGCTGAGTTGAGGAAAGAATGTGATAGCTGTTTCTTGTGACACTGTTGGACTGTTATTGTCTATAAAAAAAAATGTGTGTTATAGGTGTTGAGGCAGATAATTAGTGAAAATACCTTTTTTTCAAAGTAAAGATATCAAGTGTATTGGAAACATGCTCACCAGATATGTAACATGTTTAATGAGATCCCTGTTTGTCTGCTCTGCTGTGATGATGCTCAGCTTCAGAGACATTCTTTCTCCCACAGACACCTTGTTTGTCCCTGTGGAGATGTACAGGTAGTTCTGCTGGCGGCGGTCCAGGCTGACATATGACTGTATTGATTGCTGATACCTGGCCTGCTGCTCTGGTCTCAGATCAGCCTGGGTGGTTTCAGCCTGGAGAAAAACAGAAAATATATTTATCCATATACATATTCCTTAAAAGGGAGGTAACATTACTACAGAAGGCCCAGAAACAGCTTAAAAAAACATTTTAAAATCAAAAAATTGTAGTAACTGAGAGACTTTAGAAATGCTCCAAACTATGAAATGTTTTTTTATGTATGTGAAGGGTTAAATAAAATGCATGCAAATTATTATCCAGCACTAAATATTGTCTTCTTAACAACAGGTTTTCATGCTTTTGAAACTTTGTCGTTTAAAACTCATGCAATTGATCCAAAATGTCATATTGCACAGTGAACACGTGCTGCAATTATTATGTTTTATCATAAATTCATTTTAAAATTAACAACTGATTTGTTTTAGCAATGCCCAAAAACTAGTGATGCCTTGAATTTGAAAAATCAGTTAAAGAAACTGAAACTCAAGTTTGTCAAGCCAACAGCTGATTGTGGAAACAACATAAGCAGAGAGTTAGATATTAAGTTTTATCCATAAATAAGGCAACAACAAGCCTGATGAGACTACAAACGTCCAAGACTGGGCTTTACTTGTCATATTACATATCATACGAGAGAGGTGGACTGCAATTACCAACTCTTTAGTGGTCTCTCTGGGCAGCTATGTTCTATTTAGTTAAGAATGACCCTCTGTTTCACTGTATGTGGGAGTGTCCACTGATAATCTTCTGGGAGAAGGTGTTGGATCCGCGCAGTCAAATGATCGATAAAGAGGTGCCTCTTAACCCTAAATTGTCTGTTGTTAGTATACTGTATATCCTAATGAGTTTGTTTTTTCAGACTCAACCTTTGTTTCCTGGAGGCTAAACGATGAATTGCCTTCTTGACATCCTGTGGAGTCTCTCAGTGGTTGAATAAAATGATGCTCTATCTTGCTCTTTAAAAAATAAGTTAATTTTGAACTTGACAAGTTTTGGAACATATTAATTTTTTTTTTTACACAACTTACTGGAGGGTAATGGTATGCAAAATGAGGTTTGGACTGATGAAAAGTCTAATTGTGCTGCTGTGTTTATTCTTTACCTTTGTATCCTTTTCTATATTTCTTTTGTTTGGTATGTGTTGTAATGCTATATTCTGTTTTTGTTTCCTCATAAAAGACAATAAATACATGTTTAAAAAAAACAGTATAACCACTGTAAAACAAATCATAAAGAAATATTTGATAAGTTTAGACTTTTTCAAAAATACCAAATATGTCACATTTAACTTTTGGGGGGAAATGCCTCAGGGATCTCCTCCCTTTTTTCATCTGAGAACTACAGAAATTAAAGTCGACTTTCTTATGATGCAAAGCACATCAGAAATATTAATTTGCTGTTTTGGTGCAGTCATGACTATTGGCATCTACAGTTGAGATATTTAGCTCAGGCATCAATATATTTGTCATAATGTCATATTATGTGTGAACATTTATATCAGTATATGAGGGAAAGTCAAAGAATTGTTACGAACTGATGAAGATTATTTCTTTTTTTTTCATCAGGGGAAATTCTACAAAGGCATAGTGAGGCATGGAATGCATCAATTATTCTGATAAGTGGTTAAAGGACAACGAAAGTAAAAACAAAAAGCAAGTAAATACAACAGAAGAGTTAAATGATGAAAAAGCAAAATGCATAAATATAACAAATGTTCTGTCAGTAAAGCCATAGTGCAGTCTTTCTTACAGTGATGGTTTGTGGGCGTGAATCACTCGGCATGTTGATGGTGACTCTGGCTGTGCTGGAGACGATCAGGGGCGTGTCCAACATGTTCAACTTAACAGGAACATTACGAGCCGGGGAACCATCATGGTGGCTCACCTGGATCTGGACAGAAGTGAGGAAATTCACTGTGACTTTACCGACTTTACAGTTGGACCCTCACAGTTATTGAACACAAAGAAACATTGGTACAAAATGCAAATATTCATTTTTAGTCCCTGGATGTAAGAGGATAGTCTTTACTGTAAAGTCAAAGGGCAGGCCTGGCTTGAAGTACTTTGGTATGTCTTTGAAGGATAACACAAAGGGAGACTCCACTATTTTAATGCCAGTCTTCTCTGCTTCAACCAGATCACTGCCTGTACAAAAGAAAAAAAAGATACTATGTTAAACAGAAGTTAAAGACCAATCGCAATAAACCTGAACATTGATTTAAAGCTTTTAAGAGGAGCTTTTTTTCTTTTTCTCTTTTTTTTTTTTAAAATCCTAATTATCTCTGTGCAAAAATGTTGTTCCTAATACATTTTCCACAATAACAAGTGTATAGGACAGTGGACAGAAGAATCTTTTTCCCCAACTGAACTTGTTCCACATTTTCCAAAAGTGAAGTTATTGGAGATGACATGAGGTTCATGATAGATTTCAAAAGTTGAATTGATGGGATGACACCATTGATCTATCCTGCAAAGGGCAAATATAAACCGTATATAAATATAAACATGTGGAAAAGTCTGATGTTATCAGGCTGGGGTTCAAAGAACAAAGCAAACATTTGATTACTGGCAGCAGCACACTACACCGGCTTCAACACAGTTTGTTTTGTAATCCTGTGGTCATCTTTTTCTCTTTTTTTTTTAAGATTTATTTTGGGGCTTTTCGTGCCTTTATTGTCCAGACAGGACAGTAGATAGAGTCAGAATTAGGGACAGAGAGTGGGGATTGACATGCAGGGAAAAGAGCCAGAGGTCAGATTTGAACCTGAGACGCCCACTTGGAGGACCCTTACCTCTGTACGTGGGTCGCTAACTAACCACAATGACTACAGCGCGCCAAGCTTTCGTTTTGTCTTGATTTACATCTAAGGGTACATCTTTCTCTTCCTGTCCTGTATTATGCCTAATAAGTGTTTTCTGACAATAAATCTCCAACTGTCTATGAAAATGTTGTAGTGCTCACAGTCCATGTGCACAGGTAATCCAGGTCAGGTAATGATTGGAAATGTGTGGGGTGGAGTTTGGCCTGCCTCTGCTCTACTGTTTGTTCAGCAGTGATATGGAGTGATATGGACTTAACCAGCTGGTCTCGTTAAGATGCTTTTAAGAGGATTTTAAATGACTTGGAGGCGGACACATCTGGTTGTAGATGTTCTCCCTGATATGTATGTGGATGATCTTGACAAACATTTATTGTTCAGATTTGTTATTTGTGTCTGTCAATGTCTAATAATGTATTTTTTTTGTATTTGTATTTTTGGCTGCTCGTTGTTTGTATTAATTGTGCTGCTGCCTGCCGTGGTACAGGACACTCTGGAAAAAGAGTTTTAATCTCAATGAGTTTCTTTCCTAGTTAAATAAAGGTTAAAAAATATCTTCAATACAACTTTTAAGTCTTTTGACCACTGATTAAATCACAAGATCAGCCAAGTATCAAATTCGCTTAATTTGTCAGTTTCATAAGGCCAAAAATAAACTAGACTATTTAACATCTCAATATTTTATGGCAGTTTTGTTTTTTTCTCCTTAAAAAAAGCGGATTAAGAGAGGACTACAGTATCAGCTAAAAGCTCTGGGAACATAGAACTCTGATCGCTTGCCATTTAGGGATAGATACTGTATTAAAAACAACATTTTGGTACACAGACCTATTAAAAAAATCCTAATTATCTCTGTGCAAAAATGTTGTTCCTAATACATTTTCCACAATAACAAGTGTATAGGACAGTGGACAGAAGAATCTTTTTCCCCAACTGAACTTGTTCCACATTTTCCAAAAGTGAAGTTATTGGAGATGACATGAGGTTCATGATAGATTTCAAAAGTTGAATTCTTGGGATGACACCATTGATCTATCCTGCAAAGGCAAATATAAACCGTATATAAACATAAACATGTGGAAAAGTCTGATGTTATCAGGCTGGGGTTCAAAGAACAAAGCAAACATTTGATTACTGGCAGCAGCACACTACACCGGCTTCAACACAGTTTGTTTTGTAATCCTGTGGTCATTTAAAATCCTTTGACCTAAAAAATGTTTGACTCATGTTTGTACTAATTTGTCATAGGGTTGACTTCCTGTTGTTTTTTTCTGTGTATCTGATAACATGATGTTCTTACCAGACTGTGTAAGCACAGAAGCCTTGACATACACAGAGTTCCCCACCAAAGATCTGATGTTGGGGTACGCTCTCTTTATCTCCTCCATGCTCAGTATTACAACTCCTCTATCCAGCTGCAGGAGAACAACAACACATGAACCCGTTTTATAACCTTAGGAAAATCAATGAGAGCAGCTTATGAATGTTGTAAATGAGTAGTAACTTACATCTGAAACCTGCTTTACTGAAGGCAACCTGCGCATCTCATTGTTGATATTCACTCCAAACACAACATAGGCTGTCCCCTGGACTGGCTCCCCATACAGGTACCTAAAACACAACACACAAAAACAAAAAAAACAATCTTAAGTTGACAGTCAACAGTTTTGATTCATTCATTTTCCTCATGTTCTCTCTTTATGTCATCAGACTTTTTTATAAACAAGGTTGATATTTCATGTTTGCACATTCTAGTTGCTGGAGGGGCCACATTAGGGTTAGACTATAGGTTTAGAATTTATATAAAGGTTAAACCAAAGACTGAAGAGGACATAGCTACTGTGACAGCAACTATTACTTTGGTCATTTTCTGATCTACTAAGATCCAGTCAGACTCCTCAGTTGTAACCAGTAGAGTGGCCTTTACTGGCCATTAGAGAAAGTGCAGATTTAAGGCACTACAGCATTGTTTTCACTTTTAAAATGATGACACTGCATCCACTAAGCACATGAAAAAGAACAGGACCAGCATGGAGTAAGGTGTATAGATTATGTCAACAGGGGAAGTAGTTTAAAGGCTTTATATGCGTTTTTTCACACTTAAATATAATATAAATCAAGTATATCCTCTGAAAATAACTCTGAGTCATGACTGTCTACAATGGGTGTAACACCCGAGTCCCACTGTCTGTGATGTTTTCAGAGTTTTCAGAGTCCTATCTTCACTTTGTTTACATCGCCGGGACAGCCGGCTGATTCCTCCCCTCGTGTATAAAAGTTGTTTAATTGAGGGACTAGAGAAAAGAAGAATAACATACTGTACTCACTGCTTAACTGTGTTTCTAGATCACGCTCATTTCAGGTAAATTTACATGCAGTGTGAAGATACGAGCATAATAAAGATTAACATTAGCATGCTAACACAACAATGCACTGCAAGTTGTTTTGGTTTCATACTGGTGCTCAAGGCAACATCTGCTGGATCAAAAAATCGCATATAAAGCCTTTAAGTTGAGTTCCCGTTTTTATATTTCCAAATATAGGTCCAACTTTTTCATAACAAACTTAACCAAACTGTGACAACTTCACCTGGTCACTCTGTTAGGTGCAGAAAAGGGTCATGGATTGGGTTAATATTAAGTCAACCGTGACATTTGGTTTTACATTACACACAAACAGATATCTCTTCGGTGAAGTTTGACTTGTAGGCTATCCTAGCTAATCAAACACAGTAACATTAGCCAATCAAAAGAAAGTAGGACAGGTGTAAAACTTTGGAGAAAAATAATCTGTTCAGTTAGAACTGGTGTGGGTGTCAGAGTTCCTTTAAATGATAAATACATGTGGACAAAATATGATTTATAATAAAGAGCATGAGTATGTGAGTGTTTTTCAATCCACCTTGCTGAGATCTCTACAATGAGTTCAGTGTCATCCAGGCTGAGAAAGGACTTCTTGGGCGTCAAGGTAACGTTGAAGGCAGGTAGCACTGAAACACAGCAGGCCAGAGCAGAAATATGTTACATAGCCATGATGTCGGACTGACATTGTTTCTAGCATTAAAGAGAAACAATATGCGATTTTACAAGCAAAAAATCTCAGCCAGCACAGTTTAACTTGACCTACCATATTTCTTCACCACAAAATTGGTGGTAAATGTGTTCTGCGGCCAGTGATCGAACTTTGCAATCACCTTCCATATGCCTTCCCTGTCACATCAGAGATAATAACAGAATCAGAAGATAATACATTCATTGGTTGGTACGTTTCTAATGTGAAGGTTTTAAGTGTCTTCAGCCATGCAAAGATCTTCTTAGTTTAGTATATTAGCAAACATGCTAACATTTCTTAAGCCCAGTAACCATGGAAGTTTTATTTGATTGCTAGAATTATATTGCTAGAATTGCTAGAAGTAAAACAAATATGGACTATCTTGAATCACTGATGGCTAATTTGTGGAATCACCAAAGTCAGTTAGATGTATCTTCATGTGTCCCTGAAAAAGCTATCCAAAGAACCATATCTATACATTTTTTTCATATACATTAAATAAAAATGCCTATAAAATAGAAAAAAATCATCAGCAAAATATGTGATTAGATAAAATAGGTGATTTTTTGGAGACAGAATTCAAATCACTTTCTAAAACTCAGATTTCTTCTTGCGTTCTTTGAATTTTTTGATAAATTTGCACCAGAAGAATGTTCCCCATGGTCAGTCAAAGTGGCCAAAAAAAACAATTAAGATTTAAAAAATCTACATTAAGCATGCACTGGTACTACACAATCGTATTTAAAGGCTGAGTTGCATCATTTCTGCCTTTTCAGTGAAGTGAGTTTTTCAAGCGACATATTATCTAACCTCACATGGAGCAACAGGAAAATAAACACGTCATGATGACAGAGTGGTTGATTCAGTTTGGAGTTCTTCTGAGTAACTCTGGATGAAACTGTTCAATAAAAAACAGTCCTTTCTTCTCTATCGTGTACTGCCGAGATACATTACAGCCAAGATTTTACAATATCCTGAAGGTTGCTGTGGTGCCAGTCTGGTATGTAAAATGGGAGCTATCTTTTGCCCCCCAAAAGAGGGATACTCATCTAAAGTCCATTGATAAATACTATCAATGTTTTTTTTTATTTCTCAGCAGAGGATTAATTTTAAATACAAACCAAAAGAAAGGAGCTCACTTGACAATTTCAGAGAGAACTAAAGTGTCTTTAAAGACGCCATCAACAGCTCTGGTCCTGGAGATCTGCTTAATCACTATACCATCTGTGTTCTGAAACATACACACACACACACACACACAAACACACACACACACACACACACACACACACACACACACACACTTTGAAGTAATCTCAATGTACTTGCAGATCTAAAAACAAAGTATTCAAACTCTTTTTGTTTTATTTTAACTCCTTAATGTAAAGGAAAGGCCCCAAATTTACTTGGGTTGCATTTAATGATCATGTTCATAATGGAGAAATCTATTAAGCTGTTTTTATTTGGTCAAATGTGAAAAATTTAACCTTACTATGCCTTAAACCCCAAGTTTATATTTTATAGGTCTTGTTTTGACCAGCAGCCTCAATTCCAAAGATTCCCATTTAAAGGTATACAAAAGAAAAGAAAAGAAACAAATTATAAAATTTTGGTACAAATGTTAATCTAAATGTTTGGTTTAGTATCAAAGAGTTGCAGATACATGTTCTGCAGATTAATCCTTGATTCAACTCATACATTATTTGTTTACCTGGATGTCTATGGTGATGGAGCTGTCGAAAGCCTTGAAAGCAGGAGAGGACACGAAGGCTCTGAACTGAACTAAAAAACGGGATAAGAGATCAAATAAAATACATAACATGGCTTTAAAAAAATCTGTTTTTAATGAAACTAATTAGAAGTGTCAAACCAATTCATGTTTCATCTCAACATGCCCATTAGGCTATGTGAGTATTGAGTTCTCACCAGTGTCTCCAGGGTTGTAGATAGGTTTGTCCGTCTGGATGAAGATGTATCCTGAGTGAAAGGAAACCATCAACAACCTCTCCTCTGTGTGGAAGTCCCCAAAGCTCACAGACAGATGCACAAACTTGTTCTTCTTCTCATCACGGTTCAAGAGGTCAGAGGGAAGCTGAGATGAAATGATATACACAGGATGATGTTTAGAATAAAGAAAGCATTACTCCTGATAACCGAACATTAAAGCGTTGCTGCTCATTAGTCTGTCCAATGTTTAGGTCATGTGACATCATTCAGCTTGTTTGTGTGCTCTTGAATAACAACAAGGATCTTAAGTTTGCTCATTAATTACAAATTATAATTGAATCTGCATTACCAGGCTGATAAATACATCTAACTGCATAAAAGACTGTAGTCATATTTCTTTTTTACGAAGGTTGGTGATTTTAAAATTTGTTTGTCATAACTTTGAACTAAAGATCAAGACAGATGACACCCTCTAGGCATTCACTTTAATCTTTGTTTTTCGAGGAAAGCTTTATATTTTCCAAATGTCAAATTGGGCTATTTTTTGTTTAGAAACAATTAAAAAAAACACAAGCAAACAAAATCATTTCATAATAACAATCAACAAGTGGGACAAAGCTTGACACAAAATAACTATTTCTAGCATGTTACAATGTTCATTTTTAAGCTTTCTTGTCCATTATTTTATCAGTTTTAGTTGAAATTCATATTAAAAAGGCATGTTTTTTTTACAGTAATGCATAGTTGGAAATGTACAACCTTTTTTTTTGGCTTGTTTCGCTTTGTAAAGGACTTGGAAAGAGTAGGAAGCTGGGTGGAGAGAGCTGGGGAATGACATTCATGAGTCACCTGTATAGACTTGAGAGTGTGGTATCCATTCTCCTGGTTGAGTATGGCAGAGTCCTGCAGCAGCATGGTGGTTTTACTGAAGTCCTGGATGGAGATAGAAACGGTGACAGGGTCGGACAGGCCATCGCCCACCATGTAGATGTTCTCCTCACTGTCTGCTCGCAGCAGGTCTGGAGCCAGGAGGGTGAACCTGCAGAAAGAAAAATATCAAGCAGGGGATGTTCTCATTAACTGTGAAGGTAGTGCAAGTATATAAAGAATATCCTGTATATAGTAGTGTGTGATTAGAAGAAATAGAAAAAGTCTCTGTGTGAAAACTCTGGAAAAAAAGCACCATTTTACGCTGCTCTGTCTGATAGAATGATTCATCTTTGATTACTTTAATTACTAATATGTTGAAAACCTCCCCAACATGGGTGCAAGGTTATGAACAAGTTCTGTCCTGCCAGTTGTATCCCTCTGCAGGAAGTACCACACAGTAAACTGACATGTAAACTATGCCAGGTATTGGTGTTCTTCATATAGCCCATTAAAGACTAAACACAGATTGAAACGTTGGTAAATGGTCACATTATAAAATGTCACATAGTAAAATGCTTTGATAAGTAAAAAAGTTAAACTGCATTAATTGTTGTATGAAAAGGCATCCAACTGTACCTCTGAGAACTTGAGTCCTTTTTGATTGATACACTGCAAATAAACAGGACAAAAAGTATTTATTTCAGTCATGACAGGACAATGCAAACTAAGGCAGGTCAAACAAAAAAAAACATGTAATTCAATAAAAATAAAAACATTTCTTTCGGCTTCCACCTGGCTACATATGAGTCATAAGATAGAGATATTTAAGTTGGATAACATATCGCTTACGTAGAATAAATATTACACTCATCAGTCTGTTATCATACTTAGCTGTTACTGCTGATACTACACTTACTTTTATCATTATTAGGTGTTTTCAGACCAAACAGTTCCGGGGACTTTTTAAGAAGAACTATCCATCATGGGGACTTTTTTTCCTGTCTGCATTTGCACTGCCATGGTACCTACTGTGAAGCAGGAGCTAAAAATGGTTCCTCTAAATGGGGTTCTAGGAACCAAAAATAGTTTAGAGTTCCTGCGGTGTAGAATGAATAAAAACAGAGCAGGGTTCCAACGGTTCCGAGAACTATGATAAAGTTCCCTCCATCAATCTCCCTCTATCCCACTTTCCAAGCCCAACACACTTTGGGCAGATGGCTGTCCATCATGAATTTGCTTCTGCTCGAGGTTTCTGCTTCTCCTTACCTCTGTAACTTTGCTAAATGATGCTTAGTGCTCATGGTGGATTAGTGTTGGGTCTTTGTAGATAATATAACAAAGACTAAAGTCTTTTACCTGCTCTTTTGTAAAGTGTCTTGAGATATATTTGTCCTGAATTGGCGATATACAATTAAGATTGATTGATGGTTGATACTTTTTGTAGTTGTTAATATTTCACTGTCAAACAAATCGGATAAAGCTGAAAAGGCTAAACCGAAACAAATTATTTCAACATTCTGAGTTGGGAGCATCTAATCATGTCTCTCTCCTTGGTGGTAGGGATTTTTCTGTCAAAAAATAAACACAAAGTTATGGTTTATCAACTACCACTAAGCTCAGTCTAAACATTTCAGAATCAATAGTCAATGATTTTTCCCTCACGGTTAAAAGTGAATTAAACCGTCTGAAGACTTATTTTAAGGTTCCATTGATCTCATGTTTTCTGTTTTCTTTGACTACTTACTGGCGCTCCCAGAAGTGGTCTATTTGTTCAAATCTGGGGAACAGAATCAGAGAAAACAAACACTTACAAATTAAAGAAGAATAAAGGTATTAACCGTATATACATGCTTTGTGGACAAATACACATACCTGTCACGCCAAGGCGTCTGTGGCGGTCTGTGGGAAAACACACAGAACAGACACATTAGCAAAAAGTATTTCAGAAAAGATAGAAATTGTCCAAACAATTAGAAATAAAATACCTTCTTCTATCATTGAATAACTGTCCATTGGCCTTGCAGAGAAGCATGAGAAATAAAATATTATGCAGCTTCCAGCGATCCATGTTGACTGACTGGAAGCCTCAGTGGACTGTGGCCTCTGGAGAGCCCCCCCCTTTATCACACAATGTCTAGTCACAGGAGGAGGAGGAGGAGGAGGTGTTTCTGATCAATAATGGTGACTTGATTCAAAAACATGCACAGAGTCCTTGTTGATTAGAAAACTCACACACCTTCTGCCAAACATGGCGAGGAGGAGATGGAGCCTGTGGGATCTGTATTTTTAAAGTTTATTAAGCTGCATTAACACAACCTCAATAAAACCCATGGACCTTAATGAAAAGTTATTTCACATTAACACCTAGAAGGAAGACAAAAAAGTATTTGATGGTTACCTCAAGAGTTCATATTTTTTCTCTTCATTCTTTTTTGATTCTAGGGTTGATGGACGCCAATATCAGTGTACTTTCAAGCAGTATCTCGTTCTTCAGCAGGTCCCATTTTTCTGGAGATTAAAAGAAGGGAGCTACTCAACCAACATCCAGGTAGCTTACGCTTCAGCTGTTTAAACCTAGCTTTCACTGAGTATATAACATTAGAATCATCACTAAATACAGAACAAACCACAACTTTTCCACATTTTAGTAAAATAACAAAAAAACTCACTCAGCCTGAATCAACTTCTTCAGCTTCTTCTTTAACGTCCTCACATTAAAAGAGTGAAAACATTAAGATGGAAATATCTCATCAGTATTGCAACTCATGTCTTTTTTTGATTCCTCTACTAACTGAAATGAATGTGTCACTTATATTTCACATTCTGAAATGGTGATTTATTTACGTGGTACATTATTTACGTCCTTCCCTGTTTCTTCTCATTCCAACACACCCTCTTTGTAACTTTTCCCACACATGTTTTATCACTTTTTACGACACACTTGACCACACATATGTTTTACACCTGTTTCCAAACGTGTCACTGTAACCATCCTTTGCCTTTTTTTTGGCTTCTAGAGCCAGAAAGAACGCAAGAAACTGGAGAGAGAGGAGAGGATGGAGGACGCTTCAGAGCAGGTGATAACAGCCAAAAGAGAATTTGTATGACGCCGTTTGGCCTTTTTAAATCTGGCCCACAAGAGGGCAGTATAAAAAGGAGCACAATATGTTCTAAAGAGATTTTAGCCCTAAATATTTAATTTTGGTGCTAACACTCAACACCTGTCCTGACAGGTAAAACTTGGGAAAGTTTAAGTCCTTGGCCCCTTTTGTTCTGCATATCAAAACAGTACTCTTTCTAGCATTGTATTGCACATCATATGTTACTCCATACTCAGAAGATATATTCAGGAGCTGCTGAAACCCAGTGCTGCTTGTGGAAAAAAATGGCCAAATCATCAGCATACATGAGGTGATTGATACCCAACCATAGACTGTAAATATACCCAACACACAACTAGTTTTGCAGCCATTCAGTTTTTTAGATAGATCATCCATGTACAAGTTAAAGAGTGCAGGAGAAAGCAACCCCCCCTGTTGCACACCATTGCTCACTCCAAAGGGGGAGGAAATTGTATCTCCCCATTTGACTTGCATACTTTGGTTGGCATACCAGTACGCCCAAAGCCTTAATATATAATCAGGGACCCCCTTTTTACTTAGTTTCATAAACAACTTCTGATGATTGACACGATCAAAGGGTCTTAGAGGCATCAACAAATCCTATCAGGACAGAGGAGTTTTTCCTCCTATAGACCTGTGGTACCAGTAGATAACCAGCCCAAAAGGATACTCTCGAGGACCTAGATACCACAATGACTAAAGCAATAGGCTGGTATCTAGGCTCCCAACCTTGCCAGCTTTGTCCTTGATAACAGGCACCAAAGTGACGGACAACATAGAGTCTGGTAGCAGGCCATGAGTCATTAGACCAGTAAAACAGATAGCAAGAAAAGTAGCAACCTTTGGGGGAGCAAACTAGAGGTGCTCTGCTGCAGTGATCTGATCTGAGCCACTTGCCTTATTTTTAGCAAGCTGCAATATTGCTTGATTGACCTCAGTGGCTGTGAAACACTACAACAATGTTTCCCAAATTATAAAGCATGGAATGTTGCTTCCATAATAATGAAAGTGGGACACGCCAGACTGCAGAATGTCCTGAGCTGACAAACAGCAGGCGTTTTAACTCACACAAGGACTTTATAGGTAATGATTAGCCTTAATCAAACTTTCCATCTATCACTGAGTGAAGTTTCGTTTACACAATAAATCAAGACATTCCGTGCTGAGCCCTGTGCTCTGTGGTAGGCTAATGAATCAAAATGTGTGATTTTAAATGAACATATTAAAATTTTGCTAAAAATAAAGGGGGGAAAAGACGAACGAGAGAGCGCAACACTTATGGTGCATTCATGTGGTGTCGGGCACATCGGAAAAACGAGTGTCCTAGTCGTAAAAATGCACATGAACACCTGCTCAAATCGGAACAACAACTCGGAAACTCGGAAAATAATTAAGTGCCCGAGTGGCCGACTTGACGTCAATATGGTGATCGCATAAAGGGCAAAATACGTTTAGGCCTAATTAATGTTAACATAGCCTACTTTTTATTATTCTAGTTCACGTAGGCCTATTGCGCATCGACTTTTTGCTCAACTATAACTTTTAATAGATACATCAGCTGTTGCTGTTGTTACAACATTCCGACTTTCAGAACTAAAATCACTTAAACACACTGAAGTCAGAAAAACGACTTGTGTTTCAAATACATGGGCCAGACGTGGCCATCGAACAGGCCGGGGGGTGGGGGGGGGGGTCTGGCACAGTGTAGTTCCTAGAGCACTCGGAAACATGGACCACCCGAGCAGCACATGAATGCAGCAATACACACAGAACATGTTTCTGATTGGCGCTGATGGGGCACGTGACGAACCTCATTTGCATATGGACAGGCAGGACAGGTGAGCGTGAGGTACACTAGTTTCAGTTACAAGTTCTGCTGGATTATGAGTTTTGTCGGCTCCCCGGAGCTTCTCTCGTTGGATCAGAGTCACCGAGGAGCACGTTGGCCGTTTTACCTGGATGCGTACCAAGCGGCAGGTAAATAAATGCATCACAATAATACCTTTCTAACAAAACAACACGTCTTTCTGTGAGTCAAACTGCTCGAGCAGCTGAGAGCAGGGAGGCACCTGGTCAAACAGGTGGAGCAGGACCTGCCGCATTCCGCCACGCACAACAACGCATCCGCCTGTGGCAATGTTAAACTAGGCGGATGTGTTTGTGTTATTAGCTTATTGAGGATTAGTGAACAAATTGGCTATTTCTGAGTGAAGTGTAAACTTTACACAAAGGATATTCACGGTGAGTAAAATGAAATGTATAACAGTTCTAACTTTGTTAGTTATGAGAATATTATCACTGTTGTGATTCCTACATCCTGCCGTCACTTGTTCTGCTTTTTTGGTGTTATCTGTCCATGCAAACCGTCAGTGTATTCATTAATTGACTCATTTCCTCAACACCTCCTCATTAAAATTAGCAAACAGAGAAGTCTTTTATTTTTTTAACCAGTGCAGCCACATTAAAGGTGTTGTCTTTAACTTAGACATTCAAGGGCTGCTGAAGGGGGTCCTCAAACTTCAAGAATTAAGTAATTTAGAATAAAAACATATAATATAATCTTTATTCTTGTCTCTATCCACTAGTGTTGTAGTACTTGAATCGGTCTTGATCTGGGCATCTGCTTGTTTTGTAAAAGACAGTGTAACAACATTCTTGGGAATCTTGTCTGCTTCTTCTGTTCTTGTCTCGTTGACAGATGGCCCCCCTAGCCACTAAATATTGTGACATCTTTTTAGAATAAAGAGCTGTGACAAACATGAAGTCATGTTTCTTGTTTCTGCAGGTGCAAGTGAAGATTAAGGTTAAGTATTACCTGCTCAGCATCTCTGGCCTGCAAATAGTGATTCCCTACATAATCTAGTGTTCTGCTTACTATTCTCCCAAATATATTTTCATCTGTACAAAAGCAGAAAGTACATTTCATTGACAGTCAGAGCGTACTGGAGTTTAAAACACTTCCTCAGTTGTGTGGACATGTTTAGTTTGATACCAAGTGGATACCTCCTCCGGTCTAAATTAAGCCAATGCAGAAGTGCAAAATCCTCCCATTCACCCATTAGTGTTCGTCTATGATATTCAAACATGCCTGTATTTACAGCAGAAATAAACATGTTTACAGCCTGGCTTAAAAACATATTTGATCTGAATAGGTCACGTCTTTAAGGTCACACACTTGACGATTGGGGAAAGCAAAGTATTTGCAAATCATTTTTTCTATTAACAGTTTATTGAGTTATTCTTTTGGCTCAAGCATTGGCTTTTCTACACGCACAGTATTCTAAAGAACAACAATTCCTCCTATGAACTCGGTTTTATCGTTGTGTTGGCAGTAGTGCACTGACTTGAACCTCCCCAAACAATGTGAAACAATCTAATATGATAGCTGTAAAACATACCTGTGTGAAACACGCACATGCTTTGTTGTTGGAGGTTTAAAGGCCCTGACAAACCAAGCAGATGGCAAAGAACTAGTTGCGATGAAGGCCGCCTCACGTCTTGGCCAAAAAGTTGCACTGGAACACACGGCAAAGACTACAGCCGATGGCCAACCACCACATACGTTCTGCGCATGCGTGAGGGGCACCGTAACTATTTCTTATGATGCAAGAAGATCATTTTCACACCGCTGTCGCATACCACTCGTATAATAGGTAGCCTACTAATGGAGAATAATGTTTGATCAAAAGTTGAAAATGGCACTGGCGTTGTCAGCCCTTTGTCTTTAAGTGGGAAAAGAAAAGAAGAGGTGGAGGCGACAAATGAGGAGAAACCGCTCTAATGGGTGAAAACATGGATACTACAGCGGAAGTCTTAAGGGGCTTTCCAGAACCTGTGTCGAGAGATGGAGATAAATTAAACCTCTGAACAGCCAACTGTCCAACTAGGACCGAGGGCCGATGATCTCCTTGGTGTGTCATGGCCTCTGTGTTATCTTTGCTGTCTGAACTCTTCTGTTGTGCAGGGCCTCATTATGCAGTTGTGTTTTAAATAGAAAGACAAACCCAAAAAGTTATGCCATCACTTGTTCCTCAGAGTCGAAGTGCGACCATTTACCCAGAATGCTGCAGTTCTTTTCTTGACTTAAGGGTGCATCTGGATTGTTTCTGCTATCCCCTTTCACTATCCACTTTACCTTAAGCCCGGGGAAAACGTCATGAGGTCAAGGAAAGATGTTAGGAGAAATCATAAAGGTCTTAGGGAAAGGCGATCTCGTTACTCTGACAATCCGACCACATTTTCCACTAGGCGACGTCATTAAATGCAACGGCCCGACGGAGGTTAATGACGTGGGTCTGCCGTGTTGAAACTACAATGTTTCGAAATTGGACTACAAAAAGTGCATCAGCCCTGTGCCTTCTTGCCGGTGAAATAATCCTGATTACCACAAGGAAGTGAAATAAAAGAAATATAGAGCAGGCTATGAGTAACAAAAGTGAAACCATCACCTTCCTGTCTACTGAGAAATCAACATTTATCCACAATAGCCTAAGTATGATTGTATGAAATTAATTGTTACATTTATGTAAGATATAACCTACACATAATGTTTTATACAAATGTACAACTGCACAAAGCATTCTTAAGTGAATGAAATACGTTGAATAAAACATCATCTGGATAAAAATGTCTCTTATCTTTTTATCTCTTACATGATCTGTGTCACTTTACGATCATCATAAACGGTCGGATGCGTGACTCGCCTTAAATGTAGTGGCCGCAAGGAATTGTGGGGTGTCATATCTCCTCTCCTTTGTTAAAGGATGGTCCAGTGTATCCTATGCTAAAGGAGGTTATAAAGGAAGCATTGACACATCTTTCCTTTGCTTTTAGAGAATTTGAACGGCTCTTATCATGGCCATCACTTAAATGCTTCCGGGTCATTTCACTCAGTTAGGAACCTTCCTAAGCAAAAATGACAATTTGGACGCACCCTTAGTCATTGCAATGACATAATGGCTCCTCTTAAACATTTGAGCTGTCTTCTAGTCTGTGTTAGGAACTGATAAGATCTTTCTTCTGCTATTGGAAGCTCTCAAGTTTCCTTTTCATTTATGTTAAACCACCTTTTAATTCCTACAGTTCAAACTCAGTTAGTCATCCTCTGATTTGGCTGTTTGTGTTTTTCTTCTTTTCAGATGCTTCACAGTCCAGATGTAAGAGCACAGGCCTCACAGACCTGATCCAGACCTAACATTTCTCAGCTGGGTGAGCCCCCACCTAACCTTGTAGCATTTCCCCATAGGGAAACGTGATGAAATCTTTATATATATATATATATATATATATATAAAAAAAGAGAGAGATTTGTACTTTTCTTAGGCTTTCATATTTAAAAAAGTGAAATTTAATTGAAAGTAACACAAAGACACATGGTAAGTGTAAGAGCCATATTCATGTTTTTGGGTCAAGCTGTTAATCATTTTCACTATTGTGCCACTGGGTGTCGCTGTCCTATTGTTTAAGTCACAGGTATATATGTACGTCACTTGTCAAGGTACGGGAGGTGTTTGACCCCGGAAGGTCTTATGGTTTTTGACCACTGAGCCGGCATGGAGAAACCGCAGCTGTATTGTTTGTTTGTTTTGTTCAAATGAATGGAAACTAATGGACGCTGTATTCATGGTGCTGCAATAAACGGATTGTATTATGCTGCAAACCAAAGACACGACTGCAGAAATCTTATTGATCAACAAACAGCAAACGGTATCATATTGACCTACGACAGTACAGCGCATCAGCCAGCTCTCTCCTGGGAGTCAAAACAAAACGGCTGCTTTAGTATTAGACTAAGCTTCTATAGTAAGAGACAAATTTGTCATTTTGAAAGTTGAATGTTTGACCATTATGCTTCATGGAAGGAAGCTATTCAGATGTTCATGATGCTCAAAATGTTTTTAATGGGTGTTAAGCTGGGACTGCAGGAAGGCCAGTTCATCACCTGTAGTCTTTTACTTGCTGGTGTAATACGCCCAGAATGTGGTTGTTTTCTTGCTAAAACAAGTTGGTCCTTCTTTGAAACAACAACAGAAGTTGTCTACTTGAGAGCACATGTTGCTCCATAACCTTTTTATCTGGTTCAGGATTGATGGTGACTTCACAAATGTGCAGGTTAACCATGTCATGTGCACTAATGCACGGCACCAGGCCATCACTGATGTTAGCTTTTGAACTGTGTGCACTGATAACAAGCAGGACGGTTGCTCTCCTCTTTCAGGACAGTTTAACTAAGTGCTTTTCAAGGAGCCTGCACCCAGAGAAGAAGAGAAGGTTCAGGATTTCAACATTTGGTTAATATACGGTTCCCTCAAGGGCCGTCCCGTGGCATAGGCAGTATAGGCAAATGCTTGGGGCGCATGCCGTCCATAGGGGGCGCCGCTGGCACCCCAAATGAGTGATGAAGAAAAGTTGAAGATAATAAGAAGGAAAGGTTTGTTTAACTGTTACTTAATGTTGTTTTATATATAATACCATTTTCATGCTATTATTCAGTTACATAACAAAAGAAGCCAAGAAAACAGAACTACATCACCACATCACCAATTTAAAAAGGCTCTATTTTCCCTGCTCAATCTGATGGATCACAACACTGCTGCTTGTTACCTGCTCTTGTGGGGGAGGAGGGCAGACAAGTTATCAGAAGTGGCTGACACTGACAGTCGGATAAATATCAGGTTTAAATTAAGAAAAGCTGTAAAAGATAAAGTTGTATGTCAGTTTTCTTTAAGTGTATGAACATTGTGATTGGTGAAGGAATTAGTTGCAATACAAGGGGCACCAGCTAAAATCTTGCCTAGTGCATCAAGTGGGTTAGGCTCTGGTTCCCTCTTTTGATGTTAGTGTTAGCTTCCCATTTAAATGTGGCAATGACCTGTGTTCACAGGCGATGGTTTTTGGAAGAGTTCCTGAGCTCCTGCAGTGATGTCTACTACAGAGTTGGGTCTGTTTTTTTATTGCAGGGTCGTCTGAGGGCCCAAAGATAAAGGTGTTGGATTTTAGTTTTTTGACTTTGTCCCCTGCTTCCCCCTGCATGACAAGTCTTTGCCATTGTCTTTTGAAAAAGCTGCTTCTTGAATTGTTGAACTATTTGCCAGTACTTCACTTCACCTTTCACAGAGTAATGAACCCCTCCCCCCTCTTTACTTCAATCAGACTCCGCCTCTCTGGGATGTTCACCCAATCATTTTACTCCCCTGTTGCCTGTTAACTTTCACTAATTGTGAGGTGCTCCATCAGGTGATTTCTTCGGTCCCAGCCTTTTTGAAAGGTGTTGCCGTCGTCAAATTCAAAATGAGCTGAAATGTTTCCAATAACAATGAAATGTCTCAGTTTCAACGTTTGATATGTTTTCTTTGTGCTTCTTTAAATCAAAATGGGGTTTCAATGTTTTGAGAATCATCACATTCTGTTTTTTTTATATCATTTTACAACATCCCAACTCTTTAGAGAATGGGTTTTATTATCATGTTTAAAAAATTAACATCTAGACAGTTTAACATTTGGCATGATCTGTTGAATCAAAGACTGTAGCTTATGTTGATTTTCTTTTCAATATTTGGTACCAAATTACAAAGTTCTCTGCAGCAATCACCAAGACTCATTATTTCATCATCAATGGTGTAATATGGAGTTTTACGTTCACTGACCCCTCTGACCTACATTTTCTTCTTTCTTCCCCCAGCTGTCGGTCACCATGGTGATACAGGTGTTAGTCCCTTCTGTGGAGTCAGTGTTGGTGCCCATCGTGCTGTCTTTGCTCAGCCTGGCTCTTCTGCTGCTGCTGTGTGTGATCAGGAAGAAGAGACGCATGGAGGGAATGTACAGGCCCAGTGCGGAGGAGAAGAAACAGACGGGAGCGGCCGGTTCTGAGAAACCCGGCCTCCCTCTGCCGCTGCCCAAAGAAGAACGCCTCATATGACGACCGTAAAGAAGCGGACACACACACACACATCATGACCATGGGCAAACCTGAGGATTAATACCTCCTGCTTTCAAAAGTTTCATTGACCAATCTTTTCTCTTCAGACACTCTGAACACTGTTTGTCCCGCACATTTTCTTTCTGGGTCAATAAATACAGCGCTCAGCCTAACGGCGCTGTCACCTGTCTCACTGCATGGAAAATATGACTCATGGAGTTTCTGTTCTTGGCATGAGCTGAAGTGTTTGGTGTTGTTGTATCTGCTATTTTTCTAACATGTATTTATGTAAAACATATTATTTTTTCACTATTTCAAATTATGAAGGATATTAATTAAAACACCAATAATGATTATGCACTTTATGTTATGCTCTGAGTGGCAACGTTTCTGAAAATAATAAAAATCACTTTGTATGAAACACGAGTAGTTCTGCGAGTAAAACCGGAATGTTCCAAGAATGATTATTATCCCCATGATGTATTACTTTCTGTTGGGAAGTAGCCAATGTAAATCTTTCTTTACACACTAAGAAAATATCCACCTATGAGGACAATTCTACAATTAATTTAGCAAAGACTTTTATCCAAAGCGTTGGACGTCAGAGAGTAGGCACATTACAAGCAAAGGATCTAGAGAAGGAAACATAGTGAGTAAAACATTCACAGTCTTCAATGTTGTAGAAATGATTTCTTTATTTCAACCATCCTGCATATTTGCCTTGAAGTCTGAGTAGAATTCATCATTTTGTCATTTTATAAAATACAAAAAACCAAATAAATAAAATCAAATATTTGTCCAATCTTGATGACATCAACTGCCAGCTTGGTGCCCCAGAAAAATAAATCTGCAGATTTTCTGCCAACAAATTCCCATAGACAAAACAACAACAACTTCTAACACATTTGTGAAGCACACCGGGTCACCAGTTACTTTGTAATTATGAACAGGCACTTTAGTCCGTCTTCCTCTGACCACTAATGCTCCGAGTTAGGTGCGTCTCGCTGTTTCATGCCATATATTCACATCACTCATGGTTTGTAAATAGCTTAAGACCTCTTGTCTCCCTCTCGAACCAGCTCAATTGAGATTACAACTTTATTTGCATTATAGAAGGGCCAGTCCTGATGCTGGGGGAATGTAGGCCTGAGGGAACATGGGGCTGAGGGAACATGGGGATGACCCCTTGTTGGGAAGAACAAAGTGTTACTGAGAGGCGCAGAGGACGCTAGAGACGCAGCTCTAATCACAGACTCTGGAGGACCAGTTATAATCATATCAACTAAACTTGATGTCAGTCTGTTTACTGGCGGAAAAGGAGAAAGGTGACAACAACAGTGTTAAAAATTAGATAAAGATGTTTATACAACTCTATGACAGAGAAATCCATTTTTTTTTAAATTGCACGTGAAGTAAACAGATAACAGAGCGTGGTATGAGATGCAGGGATGTTTGAAGATGTTGAATGAAAGAAAATGTCAACAGACATGACAAGGCAGAAAAACTCAGTCAGGTGCTGCTGTGATTCATGCTGATCCTTTCACTGTGTCACTTCACCATCGGTGGAAATGTTCACTTTAATGTGAGTAATGACAGCTAGTTTAGCTCCTTTTATGAAGGCTACAGAGTTTACCGCTCCAACTGTAGATTCCAATGTACCACTTTTATTTTATTTTGGCCGAAGAAATCATTTTAAAATCAATAAAATCATTTCCAAATCAATACTTTCAAGGTTCCGTTCTGCGATAATAACCCGCTCACTTTACACGATCCCTTTAAATGTTCCCGTTTGATCCTTTAACCTTCAAATCTCTTCTTGAGCTCAGACACCTTGATTGCCGGCAGCTCCTTCTCATCGTGCCCCTCTGAGCAATCTTTCTCCTCGGATACCTTTGAGTCACATGGCGGGTGAGTTTGTGCACTGTCCTTGTTCTGGAACCTGTTGCAAACTCTCCCAGGTTCATTCAGCTCTTTGGCTCTTGACTTCAGCTGGAAGATCTGAGCGTGCCCCTGAGACTGGAAGCGTTCCACAGCAGACAGGATTCTCGGAGGAGAGGGCGTCGGTGTCATCTCCCGCTTGACTTCCTTCACGGCTTCTTCTCTCCTTATGTCTTGAGCTGCTGGAGGTTCAGGGTCGGGGGGGTGGGAGTTCAGATTTGTCAGTTTGTTTTCTTGGTTCTCTGTTTCTTTTTCCTCTCTTGTTCCATCGTTCTGCATGTCAATTGTTTCTTTTCCCACTTCTTCTCTTTCAAATATCTTTTCACTCTGTTTTTGCTCATCTTCACTTTTTTCTTTTAAACCATCCTCACGACTTTCAGACGTTTCTTTTCCCACTTCTTCTCTTTCAAATATCTTTTCATTCTGTTTTTGCTCATCTTCACTTTTTTCTTTTAAACCATCCTCACGATTTTCAAACGTTTCTTTTCCCACTTCTTCTCTTTCAAATATCTTTTCACTCTGTTTTTGCTCATCTTCACTTTTTTCTTTTAAACCATCCTCACGATTTTCAGACGTTTCTTTCGCTGGGTCCTCGCCTAAACTCTCCCTCTTATCTGTCATTCGCTCTTCCTTAAACTCAACTTCCTTGAAGTCATTCCTGTTTCCTGGTCCTCCTTCTTGGTTTCCAGTTTTTGCTGTGTTCACTTCTTCCTGTTCCCGTCCGCTTTCCTGCTCCTTCATTTCACATGCTGCCTGCAGACTCTCTGTTTCCTTCTGTTTTGGTACACTGGTGACCTGGCTCAGCCAATAAGAGTCCTCCATCAGGTCTGACGGCTCATCTGCGACTTCCAGGTTCCAGCTGTGCAGGCTGCCGCTGCCGCTGATGGACAGAGACAGGCTCTCCTGGCTCGGGTTGGCTGTAAGACCAACCTTGAGAACAACAACAGCAGTTATAAGACTGGAAATCACATATGTGCTTTTTGTCCTGTGTGTGTGTGTGTGTGTGTGTGTGTGTGTGTGTGTGTGTGTGTGTGTGTGTGTGTGTCAGTCCCTTTCTTCTTACCTTTGTGATATAGTCCTGACTGTCTGATCCAAACAGATCCAGGCTGCGTGTGCCGTACAGAATGCCACGCTCGTGGTAGCTGCGGGAGCTGAGGGTGTCAAAGATCTCCCCGAGCAGATCCATCTCCTCCGGGTCACACAGCGGTGAATCTTGACCCTCCTCTTCATCCTTCTGGAGCCCAGAGTCAGGCTCGACCACGGACTCAGACACGGCTCTGAGGAGCAGAGAATAAAAACAGAATCACACAAAAAGGAAAAAAAAAAACATGCTGAGTATTTTTATCTTTATTCCAAACACTTTTCTCTCACCCGTCCCATGAATCTTTTGAGTCCTTTGGGTTCTCCTCGTCTCTGGGAAACCTGTGTTTGTGAACAGGCCGACGAGGACGTGACTGACATGAAGCAACACGAAGCAACAGAGCAAAGCAACGCAACATTCCCCCCAAAAAGTGTCACAATAAAGCAACAAATATTTTTCAGTGAAAGTTGCAAAATGGCACAAAGAAGCAGTAAAGGACAGAGAGGGTAGATTAAGTAATGACTGAAAATATCTGTGGACGGATTTTGTTACGGAAGCCTTAAGAGGACATTCATCCATTTATTTATTTACTCCATTTTCCCATAATAAGGTGTTTTCTCAAGATCCCAATTTATTCATCTGGATTTTTTTGGGATTATGAAGTTGGTATTCTAAACAATATAAATGAATTGATGACATTCTCTCGAGGTAACAACACTTGTTCTCTTTGAAAAGCGGAGTAATGTTCAGGTGATCTAGAAAACAAAACAACAGCCTGGTCATCTTGATGGCCAGACCACAATATGGCCTGCTGCCATTGCCCTCAATTCAGTACGTTTGTATGTGTGTGTGCGTGTGCTTTCGCAAATCTCAGGATACAAGGACAATGCTTTTCAAACACTAAAAGACTTTAAGAAGACTTTTAGAAGAATAAAATCTGACACCCCTCCAGTAGCTGGAGAGGTGCCAGTTCACTTTCTCAGCACTGCAGAGGAACCGAAGCCCTAACTGCTCAGGCGCTCCTTCATGGGCAGCCCCTCACTCTGACATCTCTCCATTAGTGCATGGAGAGACACACTAATGGAGCGCATGCACAAACGTGTGTATTTGGTCCTATACTGTATGTGTGAAGCATGTCTCAATAACAGAGTATAAAAGTCATTTCCCACGTGGGATTAATAAAGGATATCTTCTTCACTAGTTTCAAAATTAAAACTTCATGATATTGGTGCATCATGCAGCTGGTGGAAATGTACAACTACAACTGGTAAATGTACATTTCTAATTACAAACTGGTGGCGTTTTAGTGAAGAAAAAATGCCTCTTTGATGTGTCCTCACCTTGTTTCCACAATCAAATGGAGAAGGAAAAAAAAAGTTGGACAGAAAATGCTGCAACCCTCGAATTTCAGAAAATAATTATTCATTTGCAGTTCATAACCCCGGTGACAACAGATGTACCTGATGAGTACGCTACAGATAACATACTCCTTCTTTCCCACATGGAGAACTGCACATTCCTTTGCCTCCTGGCCATGTTTACTAATTTTCAGCTTCCTGCTTGTTGCTGATGAGACCGCTCTTTATTCGTTGTTCACAACTGTCACATCATTGAACAACACACATTGCACAGGACAAGACAAAAGACCTGTGATAGTATTAAACATGTTTGAGTTTAATGTAAAGCCAAGAAGAGAAAAAGACTGCCTATGAAAGAGCTCAGATTGAGTTTTATGACCACCTTACACTTAACGACCGAGATCATGTTAGCGCGCCCCAACTCTCGAAAAACGCTCATGATTTTTGGAAATGTGCTTTTGCATTGAAATTGATTGAAATGTCATTAGGTTTAAGGCCAGAATAATCCTGAGAAACAAAAAATGTTTAACGGGAAAAACCGAGTAAATAAAATGTATGGATGCCTGTCAGTTAAGGGTCTCGACAGTTTGTTGTGATTTAAAAAAACGTTTTCTCTCACCATCCCAAAGTGTTGCGTGATCGGCAGGCGGTTCTGCAAGCTGTCAGATTTGGCACGGCGGTGTGACATCGATCCTCCTCTCTCCAGGAAGTGGTCGTCACTGTGGGTCTGCTTCACACAAATTAGTATGAGATTAAAACTGAAGCAGAATTTGTATCAATGGAAAACACTGAAACAAAAAACACGGACCCACCTTGTGAGTCAGAAGGTTTTTCAGCCCCGACTTTGTGAGACCTTTGGCCTGTGAGGGATGAAAATGATTGTGAAAAGAGATGCTTTCTTAAAACAGACTGGATTCATTTGTTTTCCAGCCAGAAAAAAAAAAAAAAATCCTGTTTGTGTACTCACCCTTATGTTTGCTTTGGACCTCATGTTCAGGATGAGCGCTCCTCCACCCTTCTGTCAAAAGCACGAGAGCGTTTGTGTTGAACTTTTCATCAAATGTGGAAAAAACTAACTTTAAAACAATTTCAATAGGGATTAAAAGAGCTCACCTTTAGATTACCAACTAACTGTTGATACGATTTGCTTCTCCCTATAAAAATAAATATGAAAAAGAGGGATGAAATATGAATCACGATGAATGGACTGTCAGTGGAGGAAATGACGGACACGCACACATACACACCTGCAGTCAGTTCACACTTTATGATCTCCTCCTCAAAGAGATCATCTGGCTCCTTCCCGTTGTTCAGAATCTCCAGTCGGCTGTCAATGAACTAAAATAACATCGACTGGTTATTTATTTTATTGTCAAAGTTTGAAATATAAAAGTCCTACTCTAAACTCCTAACTAGTTACACGGCTGCATTTAATTAGGAAGTTAAAGACATTGAATCATTATCTATTGTAAGATAGTAACTCTAATTCACTGGCCAATAGGGCGCACTCCTGTTTCTGTCCAGCAGAGGGCAGTGCTGACTGGTACCTGTTTAAAGAACTGTAGATGAACAGCACTCTGGAAGAACTGCCTCATGCTGGAAGACTTGTGATCTAGAAACAGCTCCTCATTGAACCACACGTCACCCTCCTGCAAAAACACAGGTGATTACATCATTCAGTTACTGTCTTATAAAGGTGCAAGCAGGGCATTTCAACAAACTTTATTTACTCCACGTTCATTTTCTTTGATTATGAATGAGGTGTTCAAAGCTTAATACGGGTGATTCTGTATACCTCGTGAAACTGCATCGCGTCCCTGTAGCCTCCAAACAGCAGAGCCTGAGCTTTCAGGAAGGCCTCGGACACACCAGAGCCAGCAATCAATGCCTGGCGCTTCAAACACACCTTCAGTCCAGACATCTGGAGACGTATTTATACATGTATCAGTGAGAGAATAAACATTTAGAGCACCTGCTGCTGCTGCTTAACAATAAGCCCCTGACTGAGTTACGATACGATCAATGACGTCATTCTTCTGACATGTGACTTACTCTCAAAACGGAACATTTTGTGTCAACCAAGAGGATACACACACAAACACACACGCACACACACTTAATTACCACATCTGAAGGTATCTTCTTCAGGT